TAGACAATGCTATTTTTTGGTCTGGAGTAGGAGTTCGGATCTTGACCCTGGAAGTCATGTGCGATGAGGGTGAAGAGGCCCAGCGTCTTGGTACATTGCAGAAAAATGGAATCCGTGCCCAAGCTGACATGCATATCTGTCTGCTCCGTCCCGTGCTGCTTGGCCGCCCTGTGGCTGCAAATGTAAGAGCTTCCACAGTGGTGAAAGGTCAACGGCCAGAAGTGATCATTCAGAGATAGGAACACACCAGCAAAATCAAGGAGATTTCGAGGTAAGAAGCCACATTGATCGATATATGAGAAGGCAGCGAATCAGAAAATAGTATGACCGCAGCTAACACAGCTTAGTTATCATCGAAAATACCACATGGAGTGCAGCAAACAAAGCGAGTTAGCTTGGGTGGCGAGTTGCACAATTGCGAAAGACCGTGAAGCAGTCTGAGCCTCTAGGGAAGATGATCAAGCTGCTCTAGCGAGATTAGAGAGCTCCGACGACCATCAATTAACAAAGCTCACGGACCCTGTGTCCTCGATGAATGAAATGGCGCGTAAACCGCAAACTGACTTTGCAGCCACTTGCTGAGGCATCCTTCCATTGTTAGGGAGTTGCTCCGAAGAGCCTGCCGTTATCATAACACCGTTTCGCCATCAACTCATCAACAACCCTACGGCCCATGTGACGGACAAAGTGCGGAGGTCCCCATAATGCTGACCCACGCCTAAGAATACAACCGGAATGCCGGTCGCATGCACCATGCTGACCAAAGTCCCCACCATATCACCCACCGTATCACACTTCGAGATGATGAAGCCATCCAGCTTTCTCTTGCTCCCAAACGCAGCATTGAAACTTCGCGCTTGGCCAACAGAATCGCTGCCAACCAGGGCTTCACCTACCATGAGGATCTTATCTGGATTGGCGAAATTGCCAAATTTCTCCAGATTCGACATTAGGCGGGTGTCGTTATGCCGTCGTCCAGCAGTGTCGATAAGTACGACATCGAAGTGCTCCTGTGCACCGTAGGCTACCGCGTCTTTGGCGATGTTCGCTGCGTCTTTACCATAACCCTTTTCATAGAGCTCTACTTTCCCGAGGTTCTCCCGCTCGGCCAATTCTTTGAGATTCCTCGCATGAACACGAAGCTGTTCAACAGCGCCGGATCGGAAAGTATCGCAAGCGGCAATGAGGAGTTTGAATTTGTTCTGAAGGAGAAAGAAGGCTAACTTGGAGAGGTTAGTGGATTTGCCGACGCCGTTGACGCCGACGATAGAGATGACATAAGGACGTGGTTTAGGTGATAGGGGGTTCAACTGTGAAGGACTGGTAACGGATGATATGGAGCGTAAAATGTCGAGGGACGTTGTGGGGGTAAGAATTTTGCGGAGAGAGGATTCCATTGCGGAACGAATTGTTGTTTCGACGCCTGTCAGCTCTTATTAGCGTTCTGCGAGCCGAAGAGCTGTGCAGACTTGAGGTACTTTCGAAGCTCCCAGTCTTCACACCGATGAGTTCTCTCTCAACGCCTTCGCATAACCGTACTGCTGCTTCTCTTGCAACGTTCTTGTTCAAAAGATGCTCCTCCATCCCTCTCATCGGCTTGGCCAAATCCTCTTTGGTCAAGACCTTGCCTCCAATAACGTTTCGGAAGAGTCCACTTATTGCACCGAGACTCGAGCTTACAACTCCGCTCTTCGATTGGGAGGGTTGTGCTCTCTTCTCACTGGCTCCTTCTAATATTGAGTGCACCTCACTGTCCAGGTCCTTGAGAACGAATTGTCCTTTTCCGGTCCTTGTGCCGAACGACTGCGAGTCAATCGAGTCTACCCCAGCGAAGTATTCGCTCTTCGCTGCGCCGTTCTCCTGGGGCGACTGGGCGGAATAATCTAAAGCCGCTCCATCTTCTTCGTCTGCCAGGCCGTCGGCATCCCACTTCCGCATCTTTTTCCCGCTATCTTTCTTTGGCTTCGCTTTCCTTTCATCCCCCGAAGATACGTTTGCAGGAGTTGTCACAGCTTTTCTTGCCCTCCGGGAACCCCCTTTAGGTCCAGACTTTCCTGCTAATATATGAGCTGCAGGCGTAGAAGGCCTGGACGTATCCGGTGTGCCTATTGGTGATACATCTGTCGAGTCGCCGTTGTTTTGTTGCTTTTTCAAATATCCTACTCAAGAACATGCGATCAGCCTTTCATCCTAGTCCTTAGACTTTGACACAAGCTTACCTGGTGCTAATCCCGGTAACGGTGGCGGAGGCCTGTCGTGCCCATTCTCAGAGCTTGAAGCTGGAGTGAGCTCCTCCAATGCGCCTTGCGCTACTCGTTGAGGGTTCTTTTCTGCTGCACTTTCCAGCTCGGTGACTTGCTGGTCAAAGTAGCCGTCGAAGTCACATTCCACAACGCTCGTATGGGGCTTCTTCAACTGATCCTTGTACAGATCGATGAAGATGATGCGTATGTTGTCCAAGAGCTTGTCTATCCACGAGAGGTGTAACAAGGATTGGTAAACAGCCTGAGAGCAGATTAGTCCCATATATCTCACACCGCAACCCTCCCTGCGCAATACAAACCACAAAGATGAGCCCTAGATCCTTGACGCTCGCCCATTTTAGTGTATACTGGTCTCTCTTATATGAAGGGTTCTGTGTTGCCGAGGTATCGTCTGCAACACTTGCGCCTGGCAGGACTTTCTCCTCGATGAAGACATCCTTGATGAAGCCATTAATAATGCTGCTGCTCACCGGGACATAAGACTTTGACCACAGGACCACTCCTGAAGTCGTCAGTATCTCAAAGCCGTCCAGCATAATGAACACACGTATGGTAGGGACAGGCTTACCATTGCAGAGACTCATAGGTGCGCGTTGCGGTAGAACCTCGGGTCGTCTAGGCCGCAAAAGATACGGTGTGCTCGAAAAATGTTAGAATTATAAAACATTCCCAATACTTCAGCTCGACGACTTGGCAAGAGCCACATCGTTTTCTCATTAGCCTGCACCATCAGTGACACGTTGATATCCCACCAGAAATGCAACAAGGTTCCTACGCTCCACCCCCAGCGCACTCTCCACCGCTTCACCACCCCGTACCACAACATGTATCCACCGTCCCAATGATGCGCTCTCCGCCCCCTCCCCAATCTCAGGGAGGTTCGAATTATGGGAGTCCTTACGGCCAAATGGGGGGCCCTGCCCAACAATCTGGCGGAGGAGGTCCATTCGCACCTGCGTTCGGCGGCTTCGTGAACGATCAGACTGCCCAAATGGGCTTCCAAGTTGGGCAGAAAGCCGTGATGGCCGGTCAGGAGTATATGGAACAGAGCGTATGTTGTTTGCGTCTACGGAAGCATGAACTTTTGCTGATGCGTGACCGTAGATAAACCGCTACGTCTCCATCCCAGCTCTGAAACACTACTTCAACGTCTCTACCCCCTACGTCCTGCGCAAGATTCTTCTTGTCCTCTTCCCTTGGCGGCATAAACCATGGTCTCGAGAACAAAGACCTTCCTCTACAGCTCCAGACCCCAGCGCGCCCAACACAGCCTACTCATACTACTTCCTTCCGCCTCGGGACGATCTGAACTCCCCGGACATGTACATCCCTGTCATGGCATTCGTGACATACATTCTTCTCTCCACGCTATTAGCAGGTCTCCGAGGAGCCTTCCATCCAGAGGTTATGGGCCTCACAGCCACAGCTGCCTTCGCGGTTGTAGCGGTGGAAATACTGGGACTCAAATTCGGGACATACATACTGAGCATAAGCAATGACAGCCAATTACTCGACCTCGTCGCGTATTCTGGATACAAATTCGTTGGCGTTATTGTCACACTGGTCGTAGCTGAGATACTGAACCGCGGGAAGGGGACAGGAGGATGGGTAGGCTGGACCGTTTTCACATATACATTTCTGGCTAACGCTTTCTTTCTTGTGAGTTCCCCGGCCCTGTTCTCCCCTTTTTCCTGGCTATTCGATTCTGTTCGAAAGCGACGCACTGACTCCTGCCAGCTCCGTTCGCTCAAATACGTCCTCCTCCCGGACTCTTCTTCCACCCCAGCAGGCGGCATGCAAACGGTCGACCGCGCGCAGCGAAACCGGCGAACACAGTTCCTCTTCCTATACAGCTACGTGGTGCAATTTGTCTTCATGTGGGTGCTCAGCAGGCAGGATTCTGCCACTGCCACGGTTGTAGGCATAAAAACATAAGGCACGGATCGGTAAAGCCCGGAAAGGCTCGAGGAATGGGGGAAGGGAAACCCGCGAGGGACGTAAGCTGTAAATAGAATAGTAGGGTAGATGGATTCAATGGACGGATGTCAAGAACGTCGTTCAAGTAGGAGCGCAACGCACCCTTGCCGCCTACGCCTCATCCCGCTGTTGAAAGGATCCGGGAGACCGCAAAAGGCTCGCAAAAGAGCCGCGGAAGAACCGCACTAATTTAATCTTGACGACTTGCCTTTTCGCATGCTCAAAGATGAGCCCATCGTGTGTGTGGAGATGGAGCTTCTTGGTGCAACAGTTTGGAGGGATGGGAAGGGGAAGCCAAGGCGCAATCTGGTCTACGAGCCGATTGAGAGGCAATAATATGGCAGCAGTGTTGCACGGGCGATGCCGAGAGATGGTCAAGCTGAGTCTTCCTTTTGACTCTCGCAAGCCGATGTACAACTATTCCTATCCTGAGCGTTACCACAGGTCGCATGTCCAACCATCACTACTGCGATAATATGCCCCCTTACCACCTCCTTTTCATCCATCCCATCCCGTAAAAGAATAAAAGAAGCTTCTCGATAGCTCCATGAAAGCGGAGAAAGCTAAGAACTTGCTGTGTATCACATGCTAAACGCGCGCTGTCCGTAATTCTCCCTATTACAGGTGGTATATCTTTCCCAAAGATGCGCCGCTAAAAAAGGGTAAAGAGTGCTTTTGTCACCGAACACCGTTACAATATGCAGGCACTGAAGAAGATTGAAACCGAAGATCACCCATTGACGCCGTGGAGATGTGGTATCAAACGACCGTCACACTCGAGCGCCTCCAGTTCATGTAGCGCTGCCATGTCTCAGACCACACCATGTACTTGATCGACTTGAATGCTGCGTCGAAAACATGCTCACCGAACTCTGCTGGAATTTGAAAGCCTGCAAGGGAATCCTGAGGATCGTCATCCAGCGGGATGATGTGCTCTCTGCTGTCGTTGTCGATCGATCGTCGAGCTGGCGGTGTTGACGACATGTTGCGCATCGGGTACGTTCCCCCTGGAGACTCAAGCATTGGAGACTCGATCAGGGGCTCCTGCTGCGGCTCATCCCAGGGCGTGACGGAAGAGATCGGCGTTAAAGGCGATTCGCTATTGCGTCTTGAAGCGACGAGCTTTGTAGCCGCGCCAAAGATAGATTCCAGCGTGGCGTAGATAGGGCTCTCGATGTTGATTGGATAGGATGCGGTGTCTGAATGCACGAGGGTAACATAGATACTGAGAGCGGCGCGGAACATGCCCATACGCGCACGAGAACGGTCGCGAATCTTCGGAAAATCCATGTCCCACTTCCTTTCGAAGCCCAGGACTCTGGTGAGGAATATGATGTTTTCGCCATTGAGCTCCATGCAGGAGGCGTACACTTGCAGGCCGTCACAGCAAGTGGTCAGGCACTCGTCGAGGGATTCCATAGAAAACATCTTGCCGCGCTTGGAGCCTGTGGAACGGGTTGCCAATGATCCGGTGGTGGATGGTTCTTCCGAATGGAGTTTCTTAGCGTCGAAATCTGCTAGGATGTCTTGCGTTTCGCGGGCCGCCTTGTTGTGTTTGAAGACTTGCATGATGGGGAAGATCAGCGTGACCAGTTCCATCATCATCAGACCAGGCATAAACCTGGTAGGTCAGTACAAAGACAGAGAACCAGTCACATGCAGCTACTTACCACATAGGCGGCGCCCAATACTTATTGACCGATGCAAAGCTATCAGTGTAGACGGCGGCAAGCCAGAGCGGCGTTCCAAGGAGCCTGTTGAAGGTGCTCAGAAATCCCCTCGTGTCAATAAACGTGGGAACTTACCCAGCAAGCACGGACAGCCAAGTCTGCAGACGCCAGTGGTAAATGTCATGAATTGGTTTGATCTTCCATAGCAGGTAGGGACCGAAGAAGAAATTCCATAGGAACTGCCAAACAATGGAAGGTGCCCTAAAAGGTTTTGAGCCACAGTCATCTGGAACGGAGAAATATTGCCCTTACCATTCCCATCCTTTGCGGCACATACCAGGTGATGTATGGTGTGATACAATACCATAATCGTGGAATTGGCGAGATATGGAGTATATTACCAAGGAAACAACAAACTAGAATGTTGGATGTTAGCTTTTGCTTTGAACGCGGTCTGGAGCATTGACTGGTGCCGGCAGTCTGGAGCACGGGTGAGACGTCTTACCTGGACCACCATCCCTACGAAGACGAGACCCTCGTATTTGTTCTGTGTATTGACGCTCCTCCACCAAAGCTTGAGGCGCCAGATCCAATACTCAGGTCCTCCCAGTCCACCTCCATGGTTGGGGTACAACGGCCGATAAAGTTCATCGATTCCTTTGAGCAGGTTTTGCTCTCGGCTGACAATGAGGAGTTGCTGATTCTGAGCCTGAAACAAGCCGATACCGATGGGGAGATAGATTGACATGACCCAGAACTCCAAACCGCAGGGGAAAGTACCGTTAAGAGGGTAGAGGACGAAGATGATGACTAGATACACATGGAGTACCAGTATCGACAGCAGGGCCAAGGGAATCTTGCGCATTCTAATGGCGGGATTATTACGCTGGAGCCAGAGGAAGATACAGGCAGCGTAGAAGAATATGGAATAGAGCACGATGACGACTATAAGAGAGATGCCATAGCCATCCAAATTCTCGGTCTCGGCCAAATCATGGCCTCCTGGGTTGAGGTAGCGAACCATGTTGCGTTGCGACGGTATTGACAGGCTTGGTTGATGCTGGAAGTGTAAGAACCAATTTTGAGAGCTTCAGTCGCGGTGACGAGGGCAGGTGTGCTCAGCAAATGAATGAAAGTGGTTCAGTGTGTGAGTTGGGATCAAAGGAGTGGAAGCACGTGACTGAGAAGTGCACTGTTAAATGTATTAGGAAGTGGGAGGTTGGAAGGGTGAGGGTGAGGATGAAGTGTCAGTGTAGATAGATGTTAGTCGAAGGAATACGAAGCTACTTTACCAACAAATGCAAGATGGAATAATTAGAGCCGGGAAGCTAGCTGCAGCGTTTTGTTGAAAGTCGTGAGGCTTTTGATAGATCAAAAGACGGACTGCGCGCCTATTATGATAGTCTGCAAAATCGTCTAACAACTTAACAAGTTACCGTACCAGCTTTGGCCGATGTTTGAAGCGTTTTGTCTTTGACAGTACTATACTATATGCGATAGGGTAATGGGCTTGCGCCTTTCAAGTTTCACTGCATCTGCTTGCGCAATCATAGAAGAGGAAAATGGTTGGAGGGAGGGGAAAAGGGAAAAGGGAAAAGGGAAAACGCTCGAATGGCTGCTGTTTGCTCAGTGCGAGCAAGCCGTGCAAGCCTCTCTCTTCTCCACTCCACTCCTGGACCGTGCTTTGCCTGGCAGGCATCATGATCGGCACAGGGTTCAGAGCTACCTAGCAATTCTACGCGACGGGATTCTTAGATTCTGTTAGTGCTAGACCGTACAACATAATAGGTACATGTCTGAAAAGTAAAAGTGTGGTGTCACGATGGCTTGGAAGTCACCAAATTTGAGAGCAAAGTCAATAAATTCAATATTCTCCGGCGCCACGCAAAGAATGCCACTAGCCACTAGCACACCAGAAGCACCTACATGACTGCTGTAGTACCTTACTTACCTTACTTTGATCGGCCATCCTCCACGCTATCTCTACGCTAAACCGATGGCCGTTGGAATACCTGATCCTTGACCCTTGACCCCAGTACCTTTGACCCCAGTACACTGTCCACTTGCATACGGTACCTCCTTACCGGATGAGCATTGACCAGTATGCGCACCTTCAACATTGCACAGTCCTCTTAATTCTACAGATATCTGAGGTAACGGACATTGTTATCCTATCCTTCCTTTCCTTCACTATCACACCAGGGCCAACCCACGGAAAGTTTAGGGGAGCGAAGCCAACAAATGCCAATTTTCTCTTTCATTCAAGGCATTCATATTCAGGGGTACATACATCAAATCCTGTCCCCAACGTCCACCTCCAAAGCCAGCTCGCAAATGAGATTCTTAGAATTACGAGGACGAACTTATCTCGGCTTTAATTACCTGCAGCCTTCTTCCACAAACACTACTTGAGGCTCTTCGCGCGAATCCTCTAGTCTTGGGATGTTAATTGCTCATGGTGTCAAAGTCTACGAGTAGCCGCATCCCGGTTCGCATGCCTCTGGGTTACGAATCTTGGGAGATCCTTGTCCACGAGATCTGGGGATCCTCCTAGCAGTAGCACAAAGTGGGGAGCCGGAGAGATGTCCTACGCCTCGTGCGGCTTCCTACAGAGCATGATCTGCAACATTCTGACACATCGTTTCTCCTTATCACTGTATTCGCAACCATGGACAGAAGCCATGATCTCTGTGTAAGATTATCAGTCGTAACAACTCGGCATGCCGACGGCTTGATCTATTGAAAACCCTTGCAAGCATGCAGCTGGCGTGCCTACGGTATGTCAAATGATACCCAGACCCCAAAGACATCCGCCATCTAGTCTTATTACCTACTCTCTCGATCAGCGGTCTCTGCGCATGAATACCACAGATGCAGTGTCCGATAAATCCGACCCCCAAAATATCTGCGTCTTACCAAAATCTTACGGCAAGTCATTGGTTATACAAGTACAACTCGATCGATACCACTTCGATTTGAAGATTTCTTGAAGTTTTAGAAATCTTATTCTACGCTTCATAGTCCATTTTTTTGAGTTCTAAATCAAATTTTTGTGGAACGAAAGATTGCATCTGCCAGGGAAATGCATCCGGGGGTGAAATTAAGTATAAGCGTAGAGAGCAGTAGGGCCATGATTATATGATCATTCTGCCTGCATAGCTATTCAGTCATAGCCCTAGCCCTAGCCCTAGCCCTACGTTTCTAGTAGGCCTAGCTCACTGTATCTCCGCTGCCAAGGCCTGTTGCTTGCAACAAGACAAGCAAACATGCAGCAGCCAGCAGTAAACAGCGATCAACCTCCCTCGCAAGCGAACATGCTGATCTCTCTGACTGTCGGAAAAGTCGATGCTGGCGTCGCCGTCCTCCTTACAGAGGATAAGCGTCTCGTGAGTTCCCAGTGGGACACAATGTCCAATCTTGCCCCCTAAATTCCTACTGACTACCGCCTCCATTCCCAGATAGAATTCCCCTCCATACTTCTCCCACCCTCCATAACTTCAGGCTCCATAGTCGACATCACCGTCTCCCGGAACCAGTCCTCCGAATCAGCATCGCAAAAATCCTTCGCCTCTCTCCAGTCCTCAATCCTCAGCACCTATGGTCTCTCCTCGCCGAAAACACCAGTCCTCCGCTGCAGGAATGCTACACAGACATCTGTTGTGCTCGAATGGGACAAGATCGATCTTGCAACTGCGGACTTACGGAGTTTGAGTCTTTACCGCAATGGCGCAAAAGCGGGCGTCATTCCCCAGGACAAGGGCATACAAGCTACCAAGGTTTCTGGATTGGCTGTCGATACTGCCTACACATTCCACCTCATCCTCCGGACATCGGCCGGCCAGTACAGCAGCGAAAAGCTAGTCGTCAAGACGCATAAGATGACAGATCTGAGCGGCATTACCGTTACTCCTGGGGTCCTCCCCGCACCTCTACGCGAGAGTCTTGGTGGTGCTATCGAGCGCATTGGGGCCAAGATTTCAGAGAATGTGAGGATAGATACCACGCATTTTGTGTGCACCGAAGGCAGAGGTCGCGAGTGGGAGAAAGCCGGCGAAATGAACATTCCCATCGTGCGGCCTGAATGGGTGGAAGGATGCGAAAGGGAAGGCAGAATAGTGGGCGTACGGGGTTACTACTTGAACGCGGATCCACGGTTGAGGCAGGTGGGACAAGGTGTAAGTATGCAGCAGCAACAGCAACAGCAGTCACCAAGACCACAGCAGCGGGAGAGGACGGAGAGTCAGAGAACGGTACCCGTGCAGCAGCAGCAAGCGCCGCCTACGCCTTCACAACCTTCCAACAAGGGTCTGCCACCCCCCTCGGCATCGCCGAGACCGTCATCCACTGGCTCGGATAAGGGAGCCCCGCCACCACTGCCTAAGAAAGATGCACCGCAAAAGCAAGAAGGTCGACGCAGTGAGGAGGACGACAGCGCATCCGAGAACCCGGTTGGAAGCGCTATGGATTCACCTACGCAAGAGCCGGTCATCGGTCTAGGTGAATCTGGTTCTGGAGATGAGAGGGTGGAGGATCTGAAAACGCCCGCAGAGTCTGCGAAGTTCAGTGACGTGCAGCTCTGACAAAGAGATGTTGGCAGGGAACGAAGACATAAGTACCATCAGTGTGTAGATTGCGAAGAGATTCAGGGCGTGCAGGGACGCAACAGCGTAGTCTCATCGCTTGCGTATACCATTTAGCTCGACCATTCTAGAAGTATGTAGAGAAGGTTTCCTTGTCCATTGCCCTTTGCCGGTAGCCTCTATCTCACGAAACTCCTTTCCAGCAGAGAGCGTTGATTTCTGATCTGTATTTCTACACGGCTCACAAAAGGCTTTCAATACGCATGTGAGAGAGCCTTCAGCGTGCGAATTCTTATCCATCAAAGTGTCCTTACCATTGCTTCCTCGCAAATGGTCAGCAGAGCTCTCACCAACGTTTTCATGGTAGCTGTGCTGACAAGCAGACAACACGAATCAGAACCACATTGACCCGCAAACAATATGGCTGTCTGAGACGTGTGCGAAGCTCCAGTGAAGTTGCTGCCAACCCTTTACGACTGTAAGAACAAAAAGGGGGGCTGGAGTGAAGTCAGACCAGTGTCAGCAGGCGACAGAGAACTGAAATGATGATATGAGGTAATGAGCCGTTGACTGTCAACAGATGATGCTCGAAGCTCAGCTTCCCGAGCTCCCTGCGTTCTAATGCTTGAGCACGGTAGCTTGCTTGCTCTTGTTGTTTTGGCTAAATTCATTGGTCCATAGCCACAAAATACGGCCGTACCACTGCCCATAACCACAAGAAAGTTGATCCTTGATCCTCCACTATATTGAAAATCAGGGCACTTGGAAAAGCTCACTCCCGAACCCACTTTCGTCAAACCCCCATAGCCATTGGCCGCATAGAAAGCTCTTCGACTAGAGTAACCCATCCGCCTTCAGCAAAGCGTTCCTGACTGTCTCCAACAGGATCGTTGCCACAATAGGCGGTACCGCATTCCCGATCTGCTTCTTGACGCCGGACGCCCCAAATTTGTGGCCTAGCGGGAAACTTTGCAGGCAAGCGAACTCGCGATGCGTATAGTCCCGCTTCCCACTGGGATGGATGATGCCACCACCACTGGTAGTAACACAAGTAGCGATTTTGTCCCCAGACTGAGGTAAATTGTCTCGCTCTTTCGCCAAGTGGGTATCGTGATTGGCCCACCCGTAGGGGATCGTGGCAATGGCTTCATTGATCGTGGTCCATGGTTTCAGGCCTGTCTTTTCCGGATCGGACGAGTGGGTCGGTTTTGGGAAAGGGGGCAAAGCTTCGCCAGGGCTGCGGAAAGGGATTGTCAGCATCTAATAATAATGATCGGCTAGCAAGTAGGTCACCCTACAGCACGGAGTACGTGATCGAAAGGGAGTTATAGAGGTCGATGCTTACCACGATGCCATGATAAACAGCCTCGTTCGACGTTGTGGGAGACCCAAGTCGGCACAGTTCATGACCTTCCATCGAACGCTAAAGCCTCTTGAGGTGAACATGTTGATTACAGCGTTGAAGAAGATAGGATGACGGCGAATGAGCCCAGAGGTTTGCTCGAGAGTGACTATTCTGGGCTTAGCCTTCTCGAGCAGGTTGAAGATGGCAAAGAGAGTCGCGGTGTTCATGTCGTCGTCCTTGCCTTGGACCGTATGCGCATCGGAAAAGAATTGACACGGCGGCGACATGTGGCAAATATCAACCTTGTAATATTTTTTCGCATCTGAGAATTGATTGGCCCAAACGTTGTAAATCGGGGTGCGAAAAAAATTCATCGCATAGGTTTGGCAAGCTGCCAGATTGAAGTCGAATCCCCAATGAGGACGTAACCCTGCACTCACTGCTCCTCTGGACATGCCTCCAGCTCCGCAGAAACAGTCACCAAACGTGTACCTCCGCTGATTTGCCTTTGAAGCGGACGCGTTGATGATTGTAGACTGATTTTGCTGACGAGAGTCCTCGATAGGCCGCGATGATGGGCCAAGAGTGGCTTTAGTGATCTGATGAGAGAGCATTCCGTAGGCTTGAGATGATCCGGGAGCCACTGATAGACAATCTGGAGATATGCGGTGGATATTTTGACGCGATTTTGTGGACGTCAAGTGAGATTTCGCGTTGAAGGGCGGATGTGCAATGCTGGGCCGAGACATCTTCTGCTTAGAAGAAGACGACGTCGCGTAATGATTTGAAGGTATGGCTGAGCGTGCGTACAACGGAGTTGACGGACCGGGTTGCCGGAATATAGAAGAATGTAACTTGGGGGAACTCCCATATGGATTGGCTTGTGGCTTTGTGAGATCGACAATATTATTATCATCCTCTGTTGTACCGTACGTCTGAATCTGACTGACGACTGAAGACCGTGCTGTCTTGGATAACGGCGTTGACCCTTCCGTGAAACCGCCCGTTTCAGAAGATCGCATTGAGTCCCTCGATCGTCGAAGTGCTGAGTCCTTTCGTCGCGAAACCGGAGTAAGAAGGCCAGAAAAGATTGTCTTGTAGCTCCTGGATCTCGATGGAGTGTGTATCTCTTCTACATGATCTGGTGACTGAGATCTGCCCATTGTTCTTTCGCTGTCCGAAGAAGCTGGCTCCTCATGATCGTATCTGTTGTTGCCAGGTAAGGCTCGATTGCCCGGACTGTCATACTTTTGGGGAAGATCTCCGTTGCTTGACTGCACTCGAAAACCTCGATCGACTCTCTTTGTCGGTCTGGCAGGGGAACCACCTGCTACATCAGCCGATCGCTTCCTCTGTGCCAGGCCTGGCGTGGGATAGTATCTTGATGTTATCTTCCCTTCGTATCGCTTTTCGAACGTTCCGGAGCTCGAAGACGTCTTGACTTGAGCGTCAATCTCGATGATCCTGGGCGACTTGTTTCTGGATTTTCGGGGCTGAATGGAGCTTTGCCTCAGGCCTCGCCTCAATGCAGACATACCACATTCTTCATCTGTGTCGTAGTCACTGGAATCAATAGGAAGGCCATTGAAGCCTGCGAAATTGAAGTGTGACTCTCGTCGGTTTCGTCGTTGCTCCCGTGAACGCAGGATTGGCGAGGTCAGGACTTCTCCGACGTTTTCATTGCTTATTATCGTATCATCGCTGTGTACGAGGTCATCGTTTCTAGTACTTATACTTTGGGTAGCTCGGTCGTAGCTTCGCTGGAGGTCGTCTTCTGTGAGAAGGCATCCTACACTTCCACGCTTCATGGGATCTCCAAGAGGGAATTCCGGACCTGATGGCACTTTCAGTGAAGACCGACTTGCAATGCCTTTGTGTGAAACAACTTCTTGGCGTAAAAACTCTCTTTCTCCCGGCAACCAACCCTCTTGCGCTCCGCCTGGCACCGTGGAGCCTCTCCAAATGTGGCGAAGCTCGTCATCCTTCATGCTATTGTCGAAGCGCTGATCACACTCATCTTCCCGAAGTCGGTGGATTCCTTTCTCGCACCATTTGTACAAGACACGAGCTTTTGCGTTAGCGTAGAGGCAGAGGTATTTGAATCTACACACAAGGACGCGGTCGTTCTCAATGGTCTCTGGGTTGTCCTTCTCCCCGTCATCGCGCCAGCTCAAGGCCGGAAATGATTGATTGGTAAGTCGAATGCGTCTTCGTTTCACGATTTCGCAAACAGGTACAGTCTCCATGCCTTGAAGCTTGGCATCTCTTGGGTCGTCCTCATCGATGTGAAGGATCCAGCAGACTTCGTTCAGCTTTCTTTCAACGACACCATTCATCTCCCTGGTCCGTCGAAATTTCCAGCCTCGTAAAGTAACTGCTGACGTCGACGTGTCTTGGATAATATGAACGATCCTCAGGAAATCTTTGTCTTGAAGTTCTACGTACACCTTCTCAGCCAGTAGAATGCCATTATGTGTGAAACTGTCTAAGCCGACGAAAGGCAATGTTATTGGGAGGTTGCGTGGGATGATTAGGGAGGATCTTCGTGAGGTTGCGGCCATAGAGTTTGAGCTTGCTAACGATGACCGTCTCATCTCGTCCTCGGCATCTTGCGCCATCCATAGAGCCAGATTCTCCTCGTCTGCAGAGTCATCGTCGTCCGTGAGCTCCGTTGTCATTGGCTGCGGGAGCGGACGCGGACCCTGGGTCGTCGACGAAGATCTGCTAGGAATCATGGTAGCGCTAGCTAACTCTCGGCGTCCAAGCCTAGGAGTCTTAGGGGAAATTGAGGCACGCCTCGATGGAGTGGCGAACTCCTCACAGGTGGCTGCGGGGTTTGGGAAGCTCCAGGAAGAAGTTGCAAAGTATGCGGGATCAAGGTTGCTCGTTGGTGAACATGTCTTTGAGATCTCCATGCTGGGACTCTGAGGTAACCACCGAGACGACGGTTTGGTGCCCGAAGCTGAGGAGCCTCGTAAATAGTGTGCTTGTGATGATGACTGAGGAAGAGCGTGGCTAGCCTGTGATGTTATCGTTGGAGTTCCCACGGTAGGGCTCTGGAATGCTGACTGTACGACCGAGTGGTGTTTGAGATCTGAGTGAGGTGAATGTTGTGGGACTTGATCGGTCTTTGTTCTGGAGTCATTGACGACTGCTAGGCATCCATTCAGTGATGCTAATGAGGACAATCAGCACCCTACCAAGAGTATGGAGAGGTATTATTGCCTGTTGAATTAGGAGTACCTGCATTATCCTCGTCGTCGAGAACGATCACACCTTGGTCTTTGGCAGGCATGATCCAAGTATAACAATTTGAATAGGACTGAGACAGGTAGTCGGACCAAGCAAGGCGTGTCACGATGACTTCCAAGAAAAGTTAGATATCAGGTCGTTTTCGATGTTATGCAAAAGCATCGAAGAAAGCAGGCTGCAAGGAATGGCGCTCTTTTGACAGGACAGCTTGGACGAAAGGTACTTGAAGAGGTTGGAGAGGTTTGGAGATGGTGCACTATGTTTTTAGAACCAGGTCAATAAGACTCTTCGGACGGACTAAGGTTGATATGAAGCCAAGGAAATGACATTTGAAAGCGATTACTTTGACTCAACGAGATTTGTCTGAGGAGGCCACATACCTGTATTGACTGCTTCACTCTACGGTAAATTGACACTGAGAGATTAGGATGCTGAATAGTTTAGGCCAGTATTAGAAGTCTTGAAGGATCTTGAGAAGTCCAATGACGCCGAGAATATTCAAGTAGGCTGCAGCGAAAGGGATCAACGATGGATTTATGACCTTGCGTGAAACCATCTCATCCCCACTTCTTGTGCAGGCAACAAAGCATAGCACTGCAACTTTCTTGATACCTTTCAGCTCAGCAAACTGTCGGACATGAGGTCAGAGCACTAGGTTTGAGACTCAGGTCTCCTTCTCCTTGACTGGGATAAGTCTTGCCAAAAGCTAACGCCAAGCAATGAAAGTGGATGTTTCCATATTCAGTGCCATGTTTGTCCAACAAGTGTCTTTGTTACAAATGCGACAGTCACTGCAAGAATTGTTCCAAGGTCCTTTGATACCATTAAGAAGATCAAATGCAGACTGGCGTATGCATGGCAACAATGCTGGAGAATTGGACAATTATACCCCCGCTACAACATGAAAATTTTGAGGAAGACTGGAACGCAGATCATCTGCAGATAGGGCACAAAGACCCATCTCTGGCTGACAGCGATCTGGGTTAGCAGTAAAGCCCACGACATTGGCTGTGTGTTTCACGAAACGAGACAGGTTCGAAGAAAGTGTGGGCAATCCCATACTTGAAGGAAGCGCAGTGAGAGGATGAGTTGAAAACATTCTCTCATGTTCCTCCCCAATCAAGAGCTTGTTGGATAGTCCTAGACCTACAGAGAGCTGAATACCAGCTATGAAGATGAGCTGAGCGCACAAATCGTTGCATTGCGTGGTGTCTGTTCATCAACTGCTCCCCTCGCTCCAGCGGGAGATGTTGTGCAGCAATGCTGCCGGAGCGGAAAAGGCCCGGCTTGGCACACTAGGATAGCCCCCGCAATGAGCCTCGAAGAATTTCTCTCAAACCCCATACCCGCTCCTTGCAAGCTTGAACTTTTACACAATGGCTACCATCAATCTGTTCAGACCAAAGGCTACCTTTTCTAGTACTCGCCCAAGGGAGCCGAAGCTCTTATTCTTCAACAACTCCGCTAGCCGACCTTGACGTACCAATCAAGCTGGAATGAAAGCCTGAAACTTAATCGCTTGGACCCGAAGTTGCCGATACAGCTTCTACAGAGTAAAACACTCTGAAGAAACCCAATTTGACCTCGTATCTAACGTATACTGAAGATGTGTGGAATCGATGCCATCACATGCGCACAGCCGGTAGATAATTTCGTCGCTGCGGAGATTCATGGGGCCTTGTACCTTTTACAGCACCGTGGCCAAGGTAATGCCGATGCATATTGCGCTCAGGCCAATACTGAGAGTCGGACAGATGCATGTGGAATAGCGACCTGTGGCTCAGGGGGCAAAATCTACCAATGCAAAGGAAATGTCCTCGCTGCAACAGTCTTCAAAGACGGCGCTCGAATACCGGACCTGCGCGGATAGATGGTGGGCTTTTGATTTCGACTGCTTCAAAGTCTTCTCATGCTGAACTCGGCAGGGCGTTGGGCATGTACGCTACCCTACTGCAGATACTAGCGCAAATGCAGAAGCTCAGGTACGTCTTTTCGTAGTGATTTCCTTCTGATGGATAGCGAATTTTGCTTCACAAAACATGGGCTGGAGGAGTGGGGGGTTCGATTGTCCAAATATTTAAAATTCCCAGAAGTCTGAATCTATCTTAGAGAAGACATGCTGACTCCGAAAACTTGAACAGCCATTTCTTGCCAACTACCCTTACGGAATTTGCTTTGCCCATGGGGGCAACCTCATCAACGCCCCGGAGTTGAAGCACTTTTTGAACGAGGAAGGGCATCGACGATGATAAATATTTTTGCAAACGAGCTGGGGGTCACCGGCAAGGCACGTGTGAACAGTGACGACATCTTCTCTGCTCTGAGCCGGATGTACGACCGGTTGGAAGGAGGATGGGCGTGTACTGGAATTCTCGCAGGTTTCGGCATAATCGGCTTTCGAGACTCATGGTGTGTATATTTTCGAAGCAAGCTCTTCCTGTTCTGGAATTTTTTTCGCCTCACAAGATATGATTGGAGGCAAAACGGTATCACTACCGCTTCGAGCTGTCTCATGGCTAGTGTCATTGCCTTGGAAAAGAGATGCTGAATCCGAAATCCTTTAGAGGTATACGTCCTCTTGTGCTAGGTTCTCGGCCATCTGCTAGCGGACAGAGAATGGATTACATGATGGCTTCAGAATCAGTGGCCCTACGCCAGCTTGGGTACAGAAGAACGGAGATTCGCGACGTTCTACCAGGAGAAGCAGTGATCATTCCAAAACGCTTACCCCCAGTGTTTGCCCAAGTCCAAAAGCAGAAAGCTTACTGCCCGGATATTTTTGAGTACTGCTATTTCGCTAGACCTGATGCGATTATCGATGGCATAAGTGTCCACCAGAGCTGAGAGAATATGGGTCGTTTCCTCGGAGATCGCGTTATCAAGGTCCTGACAGCCGATCATTCGGAGGAAACCGACGTTGTCATGCCCATCCTCGAAACCTCAAACACCAGTGCGCCAATTGTCGCTGCACGACTGAAAAAGGCATATTGTCAGGGCTTTATCGAGAACCGCTACGTATTCCGTACGTTATACTTTCCGAGGCAATTCTTCCCCAATCATGCTTCTTATGATCAGACATGTCTTAAGAGTCCTCTGCTCCCAAAACATGTCTCGCGACTCAGAACTTTTCCTGAAAGAGTAATGCTGACTCCGAAATATTCTCATGCCAAATCAAAAGGCCCGGGAGGAAGGCGTCAGGAGGAAACTCAGCGCAATGGAAGAGCAATTTGCCGGAAAGACCGTGCTTCTCGTGGATGACAGCATTGTCCGCGGAACCACGTCGAGGTAAATTGTGGACATGGCCACCGAAAGCGGCGCTAAAGGTGTATACATTGCCAGCTGCAGCCCTAGAATACGCCATCCCCATATTTATGGCATTGACTTAGCTTCTCCATCCGGGCTTATAGCTCACAAACGGGACGACGATGCAATAGCTTTGTATATTGGTGCGAAGAAGGTTATCTTTCAAAAGTTGGATGATTTAAAGGAGGCCTGCGCGCAAGCTGTGCTCGCCGGCATGACAGCACGAAAGAACCAAGAGATCGAAGTGGGTGTCTTCAACGGAGAAACTGTCACTCCTGTTCCCAGGGGCTACTTCGAACACATAGAGAAGGTACGAGGAGAGACGAGGAAGATGAAGGTCATGGAAAACGCCAGGGAAGCCGTAGCCAACGGATCGGCAGGTAAAGAGGAGATCCAGATAGCTACCAATGGCGTTGAGGTCAACGATGACGGCAAAGTTGTCCCTGCATCGGCGAGTACTACCAACGGAGCGCTGGCAATCAGTGGGAATGGAGTGCTGCATACGCCTAATGGCAAGAGGAAGCATGAGAAAGATGAAGAGGCACCGCCGAGGCACCAGATGGATAACGGACTACACAACCAAGGTGACTTCGATTACGTGAAAACGTGAAATTTTGGTACGTGTCAATCTACGCTATGCATGTTTAAACCAAATTCTTCCATTGGGATGAATGATCAATCACTTTTAGATGTTAGACTTCTGAGCATGACTTTGCGGAGAGAGTTGGTTCCTGATATTTTGGAAATTTGATTGTAATTGACGGCACCAAACAAGGACTTTGGGCCGGGCTGACCTGCCGTGATTACCCTAGGGAGCGCAGCTATTTGAAGAAGAATGTATGGAGCCACGGTGGGCATTGGAGAGAAAGTGTATAATTGCTTCTCCGTGCATTTGGGAGGCCATCTGGTATTGAGTCGAGCATTTATGCTCTGCTCCGGTACCATCACAGTACTATCGTACCTACTATTCGAAGTGCCAACAAATTGACGCCACCAACGATCAAGAAGTGTACCTGCATTAGCCCCAATCCTGAATTTCTAAAAGTACCTAAGAAGGTCGTAAATATTAGCCCTTGTGGAGTCAAAATCTCTCTTGTGTGTAACAACGCCTTTTGCGTGAATAGTAGAACTCGTATTCTTCCTGATAAATATCATCAGTGAAGTAGACAGTACAGTACCTTAAGGTAGTCTCAACTTTAGGTACCTTACTCTACATGTACGTCACTTCTGCAGGTGTCGGTGGTGTCGGCGCTAAGACGGTGCATTTTCTTCATCATCATCATCAGTGGTCACAGCTTGAGTTCTGCCTCCGACTACTTTACCGTACTTTACTTTACCTTTCCACTGTACAGTATTCCATACAACTGTCTCTCTCCCTCTACTTTTCCTCTACTTTCCCTCTACTTTCCCTCTAGTATGCCACAGTGTTTCGTTTCGAGCTGCCTTCTACATTGTGGAAAATCCCAACTCACGCTTGTTCTTGGCATTGGCAGAAGTTGCAGCTCAAGTGCATTGAATTCCACACATTTCACCGGAAGACTCACCCTTCCAGTCAACTCTTCACATCTTCTACACCTCTCGCGTGGCCAAGAATCTCAGCCATGTCTACTCGTGTGACCCGCAGCTCAGCAGGAAGGGAACCAAGTTCGTTGGCTTCGGATAAGGAAAATCATGAGCACCAGCTTTCAAGTCCGCCTGCGACGCCTGCGTCATCAAAGGTCAACGCGCAGGCTAGCACTGGGAGCAAAGCGACAGTGAAGAAAACGACGCCAGAAGTGAAAGTAGAAGCCAACGAAGCTACAGGAATGCCCGTCTCAGCCACTAATTCTCAACCACCAAAGAGGGAAGCAGCCAAGAAGGAACAGACTCTCGAGACAAAGTCAGAACACGAAGGGCCAGCGCTCCCGGCAAGCATATCAAGGAAGCGTAAGAGAGCTGCTGCGGCGCCCAAAGTTGAGGACCATCCCGATGAGCTACCGCACAACATGGGGAAGCGACCCTCAGCAAAGAGTCACCAACTAAAGGATGAGGCTGCGCAAGAAAATGCAGCGTCCGCAAAGACTGGAACCCCGATAAAATCCGCAGTGAAGAAAAGCAAGCCTGAGGATGCTATATCCATGGTCGAAGCCGCTAGTACCATCGACGCATCTGAAGAGTCGCCGAAAAAGAAAGCCAAAAAAGTCGATCACTTCCCGTGCAGTGATCCCTATCCTGACTGGGCACATCCAACACCAGAGGAGTGCCAAGTCGTCCATGATCTCCTTATGAATGCGTTTCCCAAGGATCAGCACTCCAGGTTCATCCAGCCGGACACCGTTCCACCCCCCTCGGAATTTGTTGCTGGGTGCGGCGAAGTGCCTACAATTCTCGACGCCATGCTCCGTACCCTGCTCAGTGCGGCTACGTCTAAGCGCAATTCCAGCAGCGCCTTCCAGGGTCTTGTGAAGCGATTCGGCCTTCAAGAGTCGGGTCCCTGCAATGGCAGTGTCGATTGGACTGCCATACGTCATGCCACCATAGACGACGTCTTTCAAGCCATCAAGACCGGCGGTCTGGCAAAAAATAAGAGTAAAAACATGAAAGCTATACTCGATATGGTCTACTCGGAGAACGAAGGACGGTGCGAAGCTCATACCAAAGTCATCGAAAACGATGACCCCTCTGCTGCACCGGAAGGCGCAGATCCAATGAACCTTGCACAGATGAAAGGCGAGATTGATCTTTTCGAAAGACGCATCCTAACGCTCGATTACTATCATCTCCTTTCCAAAGATGATGCTCTCATGGCCATGCAAAAGTACCCCGGTATTGGTGTGAAGACTGCCGCCTGCGTTGCCTTATTTTGTATGCAGAAGCCATGCTTTGCCGTCGACACTCACGTCTTCCGTCTGTGCAGGTATCTCGGGTGGGTGCCGCCTAAAGATGAAGAGGTCGGTCCAGGAGAGAGGAAGAGACCCGAGGTGAACGAAGTGAACACATTCAAGCACTGCGAGTTTCGGATTCCGGAGAACCTCAAGTATGGCCTACATCAGCTCTTTTGGGATCATGGAAACCACTGTGGAAGGTGCAGAGCTATCACCGGTGAGACCAGTGAAGGATGGGCTGATGCCAACTGTCCGATCGAGCATTTGGTTAAGAGGTACGGCGAGAAAAAGGGAGGCCTGGCTAGCCCTGTGAAGAAAGGCGGAACCGCGACGAAAGGAAAGGGGAGGAACAAATTGGACAGCGACGGCGATGACGAGGACATGGAAGATGTTGGGAACGAGGAAATGGAGCTTGGCAAAGATGAGGATGACTACAGCCCTACGAAAGGTCAAAAGAAAACGAAGGCTGACCCCGCGACAAATCCCGCGAAGCTTGCGAAAGTGAAAGCCACTGAAGCAATCAAGGCAGGAAAAGCTGGTGAAGCTAAAGCTGGAAAGGCGGTGAAACCAGCCGGGGTCACGAAGGCAGCGAAAGCGAGCAAGGCCAACTCTGGGAAGAAAGGGGCAAAACGAAGAAAGGCGGTGGAAAGTGATGAGGACAGGAAGGCTGCGACAGATGCCGAGGTGGACGACGACAGTTGAGCTGTTTAAGCAGACCACGCCAACATCACACTTCGCTTCTTTCTCAACTACAGCAGATCTCTTCGAAAACCGACCGGCATATGTGCTACCACATATCCACACCACCAGCCGCCCAACAACCTACGGCATGCGTTCCGGCTATTTCCCCCAATCTTCCTCTCAAATCATGGAATCTACGAACCACCAGCTCTCGATACCTAAGACCCAGGTAGAAGGCTTGCGATTTCGCATTGTCTAGCATAGATACCCTAGCATAGCATAGCGTGCAAGATTCAATCACTCATACGTACTTCCAACCGCAAGATCAAACAATCGCCATAGCTCGAGCCTTCCTCAACAACAGTGATTGACTTACTATCCCATTGTCTGGCGCCTGGGTGCATGATGCCTTGGCTGTAGGGCTGAGCGCCTGAATTGTTAGAAGCTATTGGGACATATGCCCACACCATACCGTATCCATACATTGCTTATCCGACAATTTGTAAGGTGCACCGAGACAATCGAGCGGCTACGTCGCTATGTGTCTTAATGGATTGGGGTCAGAACATGATGACATTTAGTAGCCGATGCGTCAGTGACGTGATACTCTTGAACTCGGACGGATTGATAGTTGGGAAACGATGGCCAATTTGTGGAAGAGGCAAGATCTTAATGACAAAGCCGCGGAGGCTGTGTTGGGACATACATGGACGGGGACGAGTTGCTGCGAAAGAGAATTCAGTGGTCCTCAAGCATACTTGACTAGACTGCGAGGGCGCGGCTCTCACTTCTCATTCTACCATTGAGTTTCATTCCATTGATTTTATAAAGGGATCTGGAACGATCAAGAAAGATACCACAAACATATTGGCATGCTTCGTCTCGGGTCATCTCGTTCATGCCAATCAACAGTCTTGCCTCGAACCATCAATTCCTTCTCGCAGGCCTAATCTGCGGCAAGGGCACGGCCCCGTGATGCAGATGGTGCAAGCAGCTCCTTCGTGCCACCGGCAGCACGTAAGGAGAGCATCGAGAGCAGCCACGGGCCACGTTCATCACCTAGAACTCTTTTCTCAATGGCCCAATGAAGAATAAATCGGTCCTCAACGTCGATGTTCGTATCTTCGGCCATGAACAGAGTTTCGACAATGTCCTGCTGACAACCTGCTTCGAGGACTGCTGTTCTCAAGTGTTTCGTTCGAGGAATAACACCGACGCCTCTCAGGTCAAAACCATTAGCCTGTACCAAATCTTCCCTCGGCCAAGGCCCGGAATCTAGTTTCTCGATGTCGGTACTACTACTACGTGAGTAGGGAAGGCCCCAGAGCCCCTGAGGGACAAGGGATCCAGCTCTCGTCACTAGTAATCTCGTTGCACGGGCATTACCTTCTCGCAAAGCTTGCATCAAGCCTTTTTCGGCGACTTCGCCACTGGTAGTGCCGACCCAGTCGACGGTAGCATTTCCCCTGATGACCATCTCGAGGAAGTCACACTTTTCCGTGGTCCAAGGCCCGTGCAGCAATTTCTCTGGTACTTTGCAACCATTGATACCACAAAAGATCCTCCACTGGTCACGCTCGGCAGACAATGACCTGACGTGTTGTGCGGACCTGTCCAATCCGTGTATGCGGCGGTCTTCGATGGTGACCAGGCCATCATGAAGTCCAAATGAAAGGCGTATAAACCTAGGAAGGTTTTCAATACGCCAACTGATATTCCAGAACACCGGTGGATCATCGTGATTTCTTTTTGTAAAACGAACGGTATTATCCTCCAGATACTGTCGGATTGTAGACTCAGTTTCCTTTGTCACCAAAGGGCCCTTCCCCATCCATTGTAGCCCGCGCTCACTGAGTTCTCGCACTAAGGTCTTTGTTATATAGTCGGGAATGAGCTGTCTAATGAACGTCCATGTCATCCACCTCATTCGCAGAATAGCAGACTGAGCTTCTGCATGGTCCGTCATAGATGGAAATAAGGCGGCCTGTTCGCAGGGATAGGTACTGAGTCCTCCCGCACTGCATACTCTGAGCACGAGCTGGGTTTTCACATGTTTAGACGCGAGCTTGTTACCAATGATCGGTGAGGCTTGCGGCAGGCTTATGTTCAGATCATGCAAGAAGATGGTCTCCAACAGTTCGGTTGGCAGTTGCTCGAAAGGAGCTGCGAACCTCGCATGCCGGCCCGAGTTCTCACCAACATTATTGTTGATATGACGAGGCAACTTGGCTAGGGAAGTTGAGAAGTGGGAAGCAGGAGAGACAGGCCGTTTGCCCTTCGGATATGGGTTCAGGACAGAGTTGATGGAGTGATTTGAGCTTTCCGTCTGAACCGGGGCTCTCTTGCCGCGAACCTTGATCGGCGTCATGGACATGGGTGGCACAGAGGATTCTCTACGGTATGTTGATGTCTTGCCCTCCGTGCCCTCTTCGAAGCCTGAGAGCTAATATTGGGTGTAAAAGTTATTTATGTATAGGTATTTTAGATTTTATATAATTGGGTTAAGAATTTAGGAGTAAAAAGTTATTGATTTATAAAAGTTTTTTAATTTAAAATATGTTGCTTATTTTGGTTATTTAATGTTGATTAGATTTAATATTAACAGTATAATTTATTTTAATAAAAACACTTGAGAAAGAGTGGGTTTGTGTTAATGATTTTTATGTATTTTTATTTTCCAGATATCGTAAGTATGGTTTATATTTAATTAGAAGAAAAAGCCCACCATGTTCGAAGCCTGAGACTTTGTGAGCAGAATGGCAAGTTGTTGGTGCGTCTACGAGTTCGGATCAGGGCCCGATAAGCCACAGGATCGACAAGGGATCTTCATGTATATTCCCCAATGAACACTGGCGTGTTTCACTAGCGGTGGCTATCATCCACGTCCTTCCCCTTGATGGAATAATTCTCGCAGTAGCGGTGGCTGAAATTCCAGTCTAAAGTTGGCTAATAAACATACCATAATGCTTCATTTCCAAGACTATCGAGCAAATCCCAAGCTCCAAAGAGTAAGATGCGTCTCGTGCCCTCCCAATTTTGGCAGATGATAAACCTTGCGCGTCATTAAAACAAAGAAGCGCTCTCGTAGATTTCAATCATGCCTGAGATCGGCCTGGCAAGTAAGCATGGGTTTTAATTCAACTCATATAAAGAGATGAGCTTTTCCAAGTTTTGCGAAATTGCATTCACCATTATTATTTCCCCATCAACTTCCTCTTCATCATTTTCGGGAAGCGACCACCCAGCCAAGCCCTGCAACTAGCCGACAGAACTTCAGTCTTCTGAATTGTTCCCTCTTCTTTCTTCCATCATTATCACCAACAGTACTCCTCGAGACACCACACAAGCACTGCAACCGCCCATCAACTTCGAGCTCCTACAGCCCATCGCACAACTTTCACACCCTCGTCCCCTGTTTGAAAAATAAGCTGCTACACGCGCTCTACCAGTCAAAATGGGCGCCGTCGTATCATGCGTACGTTTGCCAATCTATTCCTTTTTATACCTGGTAGCTATCTGCAAATGGTTACTGGCCTGCTCCTACAGGCTGAGACATCACTTCTAAACCTAAATCATCCCCCTCAAATTCCTGACTTTACGCTGCTTACATGTCATCAATCACAGATCGAATCGCTCTTCCAGACACTCGGATCCTGCCTCATGGCAATCGTTAACGGCATCGGATCTGTCCTGCAAGCTATCATCGCCGGCATCGTCTCCTGCTTCGACATCATCATCTCCTGCTTGACTTGTGGCCGTGGAGGAGGGCGTAGGCGCGGTGGGAGAAGTGCAGTCTAATCCCAGGGGTCGTCGAGGTCGAGGTCACTGCATGGACCGGGACAAGGAAACTCGTGCGTGATGGAGGATATCAGTAGTGACCGTTACAAGGGAGGCATTGTTAGGAGAGCGCATGATACCACTGCTTTATTCATCTCGTGTATCGGAGGAGCGATGCGGCATTAATAATGGGAAGCTTCTTGAGCATTGACTTGTACCCGTGCAGAAAAGCGTACACTAATTCTTCAACCACTCTCACAGCGCCTCACCATGTAGTTATTCGTGAATCCTCTCTCAAGTATACGGTCGTAACAGACGTCTGCTATCATCAATCGTTCAAAAATATACTGTGAGCTAGTGACTGTGCTGCCGTGGCGGGTTCTAACTCAGGCGTGACATTGAAATCGCAAGCTTCGCCGATCCCGGCTATGGACACTCTCAACGACCCTCCTACCCAATGGCCATGGCTTGAGATTTCGATATTTGTTTTGTCGATCGTTTTTGTCTTCGCTGCCTTCAAGATTATAGTCCTCAACGATGACGAGGAAAGACTCGTTGAATTGGTAGTCCCCGTGCCTGAGCAATGTTCTCCGGTGTGGAAGGGCGAAGTTCTAGAAGAGCCTACGATCAAGGTACCACCCTCTTCAACACCGTTGCACGTAAGCCAACAAGAGTCACAGATATCGGGATCGAGCGCCATACGATGCTATTGTCCAGCCAACGGCCGACTACTCGGGCTTGTGAACCCTTCCACGCCTGATGGAATTGACAGAGCGATAGCCAAAGCCAAGGAAGCTCAAACAGAATGGGCGAGAACAACGTTCAAGCAACGACGGAGGGTACTCAAGACGATGCTGAAGTGCGTTAAGCCCAGATCTACAACGGGATGGTTCCTGCAAAAATTGAGCTGACAGCTCTCGATCTACGCAGATACATCCTCGACAATCAAGATACCATAGCTACCGCAGCATGTCTAGACTCCGGGAAGACCAAGGTCGATGCATCTCTTGGGGAGATTTTGGTCACCGTGGAAAAGCTGAAGTGGACTATACAGCATGGAGAGAAGTCATTGAGGCCGGAGAGGAGACCTACGAACTTCCTCATGATGTACAAGTATAATGAGGTCAAATGGGAGCCCTTAGGAGTCATCGCTGCCTGTGTTAGCTGGAAGTAGGTCTTGCGTCTTGGTGGAAGCACTGTCACCATATTTTCGGACCGCTGACCTGGCGCAGTTATCCTGTAAATACGCACTGTATCATGCTCCCATCCGGGTCAGCTAATCCATGCTCTAGTTCCACAACTTCATGGGTCCCTTGATATCCACTCTTTTCACAGGCTCTGCCCTCGTCGTCAAAGCCTCCGAGTCTACTGCGTGGTCGACTCAGTATTTCGGGACTATTGCCCGTGCAGCCCTGGTCTCTTGCGGTCATTCTGCCAATTTAGTCCAGCCCGTGCTTTGCTGGCCGCAGACGGCGTCCCATCTCACGTCTCATCCGGGCGTTAGTCATGTAACTTTCATCGGCTCTCGCCCTATCGCCCACCATGTTGCCCTCTCCGCCGCCCGCTCCCTTACTCCTCTCTGCCTTGAACTTGGCGGCAAAGATCCTGCCATACTCCTCGATGATGTGAAGAATCTTGAAAAGGTGGCTAGCATACTCATGCGAGGTACTTTTCAATCAGCTGGGCAGAACTGCATTGGCATTGAGCGTATTATCTGCCTCCACAGAATCTGGCCCCGAATCGTGACGATCCTCGAATCTCGGATCAGGGCTTTGCGTGTAGGCTCTGCCCTCGACGACCCCAATGATGTGGATGTTGGAGCCATGGTTTCGGATTCTCGCTTCGGGCACTTGGAGAAGCTTGTGACTGACGCCGTCAACCAAGGAGCAAGATGTCTTGTTGGTGGCAAAAGATTCGTGCATCATCGATATCCGAAAGGCCACTACTTCCAGCCTACATTGCTTGTCGATGTCACAACTTCTATGCGTATAGCGAACGAAGAACTTTTCGCACCTATCTGCGTTATCATGCGGGCTGCTTCACTGGATGAGGCGATCGGCATGGCAAACTCCACTCCTTACGCCCTCGGCGCTAGTGTTTTTGGAACAGCTACCAAGGATTTGGAGAGAGCGGCAAAGGAGATCAATGCGGGCATGATCAGCATCAACGATTTCGCCGTCTACTACGCAGTCTCCCTGCCTTTTGGCGGCGTCAGAGGTAGTGGCTACGGAAGATTTGGTGGAGAGGAAGGATTGAGATCAATCAGCAATACAAAAGCTGTCTGTCGAGATAGATTTCCGGGATTGATCAGCACTTCAATTCCGCCAGCGTTGGACTATCCAATCGAAGGGGCGCGAAGGGCTTGGGAGGTGTGCAGAGGCGTTGTTGAGCTAGGGTATGGCATCGAGATGTTGAGGAGGGCTGGAGGGCTATGGAGGATTGTAAAGAATGGATAGGTTGTTCAGAAAGAGTCGATGGCATTACACGTACCTACTCAACCCGGACGACTGCCGACTGTAATCGGCTTATCAAACCAAAGGCTTGCTGGGTCTGGGATCCTGCGCCGTTGGTGTTTAAGGCTGAACAATCCTTTGGCTTTTGTGTTACCTACTCGACAATCCGCGAACCGCCATATCCGAGAGCCTACCAACTTCATGAGCTCATTTGCGTTGCACAATTTCTGTGGTCAATTAATACCATCTCTATTTCTCATTCGGTTCTGCCGTACCGACCAGCAGCATCGCAATAGCAACGTCGTCCTCGACAATGGACGTGTCTAGGCGTAGAGTGCCAATGCGTGTTCTCTTGCTTTGGCTTTCCTCGCTGTGGGACGTTATGTATGCAGTCTCTCATAACACTCCAACCAGACTTTGCGCTGTCCATTTCAGCTCTTCTTTTTGCTTCATACGACATGTTTCCGACACAGAAGGAACAACCAGCTGTGCTTGATTTCCCTAGTATGCATTTCCAATTTTGAGGAAAAAAAAATAAATTCATCCAGCCGCGCGAACAGCCCTCCTCCAACTCGGTTACACCGACTGCTATCACTACTTCGCCTGGATCCAGAACCCTAAACACACCTCTTTATGGAAACAGGCATACGGGGCCAAGTTCCTCAGTAAAGGCACTTTTACCCGAGCAGATTGGGATGAAATCCTAGGAGATTTCCAGGTGAGATCTAGTACTCTCAAGATCGCCGCTCGTTGTCCTAGACTGGCAGGTCTTGATGTGTCCTTCTTCATCAGGCCATAACAGATAACCCCTGCGTCTACTTCGCCCCCGAACTCATCGCCGCCTACCCAGAAGCAAAAGTGATCCTGCAAACCCCCGATCTTGACTCGTGGTACACCTCCTTCCGCGCCACCATTTTCGTATTCTTGCACGATTCAGTCATAAATTACCTATGCGTTCTCGACAACAGTATGGCCCAGTGGTGGCCCGTAAGCTATCAGCTTCACTATGCGGCTTTCGGGGGCTCTCACAAACGCGAGAATGCGATTTCTGTACATCCGAGGTCGATGGACAGGGTGAGGGAGCTGATACCGAAGGAGGAATTATTGAAATGGAAGGTGCAGGATGGGTGGGGACCATTGTGTGAGTTCTTGCGGCGTCAGCAACCAAAGGGAACGTTTCCTCGGGTCAATGAAGGTGCGGAGTTTGTGGTATTAGTGAAGGATATCAGACGGGAACTGCTAACGACAGCAGCAAAGAGAGCGGGCTTGTGGGTGACTGCCCTTGGACGCGTAGGGACGGCGATTTGTTGGGCGATGAGGCTGCGGGAAAGAGAGTTATTGTGCAGAAAGAATGGCAGGGTCTATGTAATTAAGTCCTGCAGGTCTCAAAAAACGGAACAGGCTTTGGTGTCTTCATGCATATAGGAAAAGGCAACTGTCCTCAAGACTAAACAGTTGAAGTGAAGATTGAGCTCAGATGACGGATCACAGGCATGATTCTGCAGTGGCGAGAGGTGAAGTTTCGCTGAAGACCTGAAAAGAGCGGGCACGAGCCTAGGGTTCTTGGAGTGAGGTGTCGACTTGAGGAAGGCGCGTCTCAGAGACAGCGATGAAGCAACGTACTTGGGTTTCTCAGGTATATCGATTCCCGCTGAATGGACACAAACGGTGATCTAGGCATTGAATTTGAGGTACCTTATAACGAACAGCGATATACGTCCATACCATAATTCCTAGAAAGCATTCATATCTTGGCGGCAATGTCAATGTCAATGTCGCGCAGCCGTGGTGGGATGATTTGCAGTAGGGGGGTGGCGGCGAGGCGGCTGTGGCCGTAGATAAACAGACCCCTCCATCTTTGTGACGTAGGCTTGGATTATCGCTCATACAAAAATGTCTTTTGACCCTCACACCTTCTCTTTCACTTTCACTTTCACTTTCATTTCGCTGAACCTCTCCAAATCCTGCTACTTCGATCAGTCTTCAACCTCTCATCCAAAATGCCTGTCCACCCATCTGAAGAAGAAGCGCCTTCGGGCATATTCGAGAAAATCGCGAAGGATCCGTCCTCGGCATCGGAGTCAACAGCCAGCGATCACGGTAGGTAGCTTTTCGGCTTACTCCTTTTCTGTCTGCTATTCCAACTCAATTCGCAACGCGTGCTAGAGAGCACAGGCTCTTGTCCCATGTCACCCTCGACGTGTCCTATCCGACTTCCAAGATGGATTACTGACTCGGACTCTGGTAGAGCATCATGAGAACGAGCACACTCCAGGCAAAGCGTCCGCTCAAGATCATCAATCCAAAGGTCCTGCGATCCCCATGAACATGAGCGGTATGTCGCCAACCCGGCATTGCGGGCGAATGCGGTGGCTAATTGCTCATGACATTCCAGACATGCCACCAAAGGCTAGCAAGGAGGAGTTGAAGGCTCGTTCCGAGGAGCTCAACCCGTAAGGTGACACTTCCTTCTCATATGTTGGTTCGGTTTCTGGTTTTGTCGAAGGCGATGCTGACGCTTACGCAGGCGACAGATACCCCAAGAGAAGATATGAAGCGGTGTATCCCCTTAGGCCTGAGGCTTTCAGAAAAGCAACCAGGTGGATGTTCATAGCATGGAAGTCTCGATGGCGCCGGAAAGGGTAACCTAGCATGTCCGTAAATGGATCATCTTCCTCCATTCTCTGTGTTCAAGCCTTCTCAAAGATGACTATTCGATTTTGATCATGCCGTATGGTGTCATTGCCGGTTCCTGCTGTTGATCGTACTATGGATGACGAGGGTAGCGACCACAAGTCTTCAAGATTTTGTCCACCACCAGCCCTGCCTGCCTCTGCACCTCCGTGAAGCTCCTTGCAATACTATCATGCAGGATCTGAACATCGACCGTGCCTATCAGAGCCTCCGGTACATACTCCATTGTCACATTACTTGGCCTACTGTTCGATTCTGATCCTTTCATTGTACCGGCATCTGGATCCACCAGTCTTCTCCCATTCCTGTGGAATCCTCTCATTCTCAGAGCCCCTGTCACGGCTTGGTCAACTCTCCTTGTTGCCCAGCTTCTAACAACCCTCTTCTTCTGCATCGGATTGCTTGTGAAATTTATCCATAAGCCCTCCTGGCGCTCATCGTATCGGCCGTCTAGAATGGCCTTGCATCTCTTTCGCGTGGGCAAGTAGAGAACATGCGACCGGTCGTTTAAAATCTTGTGGGCGTTATGTGAGATCTTGTGCTTTGGAGATATAGAGACCCGGCACACAGTTAGGGATCGTATGGAGAGCAAAGGGGGATGACCGCGCGCGTCAATAGTCTTCGTCTCTAGAGTCCTCCGAGTCCCATAATTGAGCAAATACGCGCTTGCTAGGGTTGCACGACCGGGTCGAAGCATGACTTGGAATCAGATCCCTCATTGTATAAGAACAACAGGTTCTGAATGCGAGAAGACAGTCACAACACTCTGCCTTTCGCCATACGCGCTAGGGGGTGGGCGGGTCGCCGCCGCTGAGTCAACCGCCACCCCAGTGGGTCCTTTAACCTCGAACGCTGTATTATACCGGAGGTATTGGCCGGTATAGCTATATTTTCTAATTAGTAAGAGATTCCTATAAAAGGGGACTATCTTCTACTATATCCTCTTTATACCTCGCAATTATCCTCTTATACCTTCTAAACTCCGCTTTATTAAATCTTCGCGTAATCCCCTCTTATATAGCCTTAATATCGTCTTCTCCGTATTCGTTAGTCCTTGGGGCTTCAGGATATTTAAAGTTAAATTAATACGGTAACAACCCGGGGGCAATCGACCGATTTTAACGACGACTTTTACCTCTAATATAGAAAGGGATAATAACGATAGCGACGGCGAATGAGTGGGCCCGTATTCTAACGCGTCTAGATTATCGTTATCGAAATTATTGGCGCAAGTCACTCGTTTACCAGCCCTCTGATTCCACTAAATATGAAGTTATTTACATACATCTACATAGCTTTGACTTGATTAGCTTGCGTATTACCTCACATAGCAACGACACGCTAGGCATTCACTATTTAGCCGGATCTCAGGTGACTACATTGTGATGCCGAGTGGCTGAAACCTCGAACGACTCCCAGCCCCTCCTCTTCTTTAAACGGCCGGACCTCTTAGCGTCTATTAAAGATCTTTGCTGCGTGCTAAGTAATTTCTTTTAATTAACATTTAGTCTTATTATTGATATTAGTAATTTTTAAGTTTATTAACTTATCTTTTAATATCGACTTAACTTTTAATTATAGTATTTTTTTATAAGATTTATATAATAATTTTAATAATTTTTATAAGATAATAAATATTTCTTTTATGACGCTAATATTAGATAATAATAATATCTTTTTCTTAATGTTATTATAATATATATTTTTTACTTATTTTTTTTATTAGTTTTCTTTATGATTTTTTATAATATACTCCGCTTATTTTATAAATCTTTTATTAATATATTAGTTTTTGGGGTATTTTGGTTTTTTTAATTACCTTATAATCTCAGACCTTTAAATACGCTATAATTTTTGCATTCTGTATACCCCAGTGACCCCACCAAACATCTATAAATTTGCAACCACCGCAACTTCTGGCCCAAAAGCACTTGTGACCACTCCAAACACAACCAGACGAAGTCAATATGCCCAAGAACAAGGGAAAAGTAAGACGCTCCTTCTCACAGCCACCGGAGGCCCCATATGCCCGCTCAGACTCAACATGAAGGGCAGGATGGTTTGACTGACTTGTACCTCAGGGTGGTAAAAATCGACGTCGTGGAAAGAACGAGAATGACAATGAGAAGCGCGAACTGACCTTCAAAGAAGAAGGCCAAGGTACTTCTCCGCATTGCCTCGCCACTGCTATTCTACCGCTTCAGTTTTCTAACCACATCCTCACCTCTTCCAGAATACGCCCAAGTTATAAAAATGCTCGGCAACGGCCGTCTCGAAGCCCTCTGCTTCGACGGCGAAAAGCGCCTCGCACATATCCGCGGCAAGCTCCGAAAAAAGGTCTGGATCAACCAGGGCGACATAATACTTCTATCCCTCCGAGACTACCAAGACGAGAAGGGGGATGTCATACTCAAGTACAGTGCGGATGAGGCGAGAAGTCTGAAGGCATATGGGGAGCTGCCGGAGACGGCCAAGATTAACGAAACGGATACGTACGTGCCAGCCTTCTTCGCTTTGGGCAAAGAGATGCTGACATATCGTATTTTAGGTATGGTCATGAGGGTGTGGATGACAATGTTGAGTTCGACGAAGATCGGGACAACAGCAGTGATGAAAAGGATATTGATGTTGATGAGATATGAGCGGGCTAGATGGTGCATGCATGCTGGTGTTCGTACGGTTGCGTTCCTTTAGTGGTGCCACACCCTCAACGCATATGCAACACGGCCTGTACTCGTCATGACGACAAGCGAGGCGTGGTTTGAAGAGAAAGTTGCGTATTGCACAGGGACAGGCATGATCTTCGGCTTCTCAAAAATACATGGCCTTTTTCATTTCGCTGTCCACCTCACGACGCTATGCTGGATACAAATGCTCAAAGATTTCTGAATCGTATTCCCTTTGACCTGGGGTTCCTCTGCTGTATCCAGCTCATGAGCGCCCACAATGCAGAACGCCAGTCATTCCATCCTAGCCATGCTATTCTGCACTCAATCTTCCAGCACACTCCTATTGAAGAATCTGTAAACTTGCCGTCCTGCCTCTTTTCCAACCATTACGTCAAGCTCTTCTTCCGTCAGGTTACTGACATCTGCTAAGTCTCCAACTTCGAGGGTGATTCGCGAGAGGTTCTTCTCGGTCATGCCGGGCACCGCTCTCAGCATATCCTGCGGCGTCTGGTTGAAGCTCTGATCGCTTGGATCCTCGCCAGCAATGAGGCCGATCTGCACCGCTTTGATAGGATCTGGCTCTTCCTGCTGCTTCTTCAGCTCGTCGAAGATCTCCGCGGTTTGGTATGGTGAGGATGACCAGATGATCTTCAGGCGGGGAAAGGCAAGTGTAAGAAGTGCAAGTTTAGACTGCAAATCTTGCGGATTGTTGGCTGTACTGAGCGTCGTGGTGTGATCCGTACCGAATGTGTCGAGTGTAAAAGACTTGTTCTGGTCAAATTCAATAAGAAGCATCGGATACTTATAGTGTTGGAGCATCGTCTCTGCTTGGTTAAAGAGGCGTCCGTTCTTGAATGAGGAAATGAGGTCTCGCACGCTTTTCCGCTCAATGCATATGTAGGGAGTGAGCACATAGTCGGCAACTGTGAGCATACAAGGGACGACGACATTGGAGCGACCGTGCAGAAGGGAGGGGAGAGAGGAGCGGAATTCGCGGACATCGACGACAATGCGGGGAGGTTCAGCAGTGGCAGCCAGGCGACCACCGCCTGCGATGCGTGTGTTTACAGTACGAAGGAATTGTTCTTGGGGGTCCGACGGCGCAGTGCCGTCCAGCGTAATGGTTACGGCCATGTTCTGCGAGCCGATTAGCGATTGAAGTCAACGAGACCGTGACACTGAAACCTCCATACTCCTTTTTCTTTGATGAGTCTTGTGAAAGCGTCCTTCTCTTTTCTAACCGCGCTGAGGTACCGCTGCTCTTCCACAGAGCCTCCGTAATACATGAAGTACACTCGGACGTTACGATCATCATGCGAGCTCCTGTAGACCTCCACTCTCCGGATGAATGCAGCATCAGGCTCGTACATGACCACGTATCTTGGTCGCACTTCTTCGAGAACATGCTCGTCCATGTCACCATCATAGGGATGAACAACTACTAGATCGCTCATCTCGTAAAGCTCGAAGTAGTCTTCCATGTCGTCCAAAGAGTCTATCGCGACTTCATCCTTCTGTGCGCCATCCGCGTCGGTTGGTTGTATGTCTGCCAAAAGCATTGCTACTTGGGACTCTCTGTCCTCCGCCATTTGCAGACTGCTATTGTCAGGTCTGCCGCCACCAAAAGCTGCGGACGAGCCACCTCTGACTCTTCTCCGCTTGTTCGGTGGGCCCTTGCCTCGATATCCGTCGGCACCTCTCTGGTCAGTGAAACCCTCGAGGACCTTCTGATTCTCTGTAAAGAGCGAGGCGCTGACTCGAGCGAAATCTTTCTTCCAATTGAGATAATTCCTCAATTTCCTTCTCATCATGAACGTCGCAGAGGCTTTTACCTCGGCATCACCGTCTGCCGCGTCATCTTCGTTCGTTTGCTGCGGACGAACGTGCATGTTCTGCAAGAACTCTCGAAGTTGACGGCACGTCCCTTGATCCGAACACATAATGAGAATGGTCCCGCTTGAGTCATCTCGTATGCCAGGATTGAAGTATGCATCACGCTCAATCTCCTCGAGTATGTCGGCCAGCAGTGCCCATTTTGGCTGCTCCTCAAGTACGGGACGAAGTGAGTCTGGCAAAGCACCCGAGGCTTCAGGAACCTCTCCATCGATGGGCTTACCAGTATACACTCTGCGCTTTGCGGTTTCAAACATCGTATTAGCCGCGTCGAGAAACAACCACGGCGATTGATTCTGACGATTTGAGCCCGGTGGCGGCTGATGGGCAGCCAAGATCGTGTCCAGGTACTTATTGAATGAGACTGCATCATAAGTGAGGAGCGCATGTAGTATACCCCGTAAAACACTGAGATCGTTCACGATCTGTCTTGTTCTGTAGCTCACTCGATGCCATATCGGGTCCAACTGTCTCCGCACGATAACATCAAAATTCTTGTGCAGCGCACTGTCTAGCGTCCAGTCATCCAATTCCAACCCTGTGTCCGCCTTTCGGAGCTCGCCAATGCTGACTTCAACACATTCGAGTATAGCATGTTGGATATCTCGCATCCCATCTGTCATGGGCACCTCAAGCTCGATAACTTCCGCTTTCTTGCGACCCTCAAGCGACTTAGCTACAGTGACATGGAAACGTGGCCAGAGAGAAGGTTTTCTGAGGAAGAGGTTGCGCATCATCGATGCAAGAGGCGCAAAGCCAGTGGTGAACGGTTCAGGATTGTCGGAGAATGCTTTGAGAAAGCCGGCCTTGTTCATTTGGCGGTAGATACGGATGATGAAGGCTTCGATGGACGTGGCAATGACCCTTGGCTACTGTCAGATCTGGAGCAGCACTTCGATGGGCTCCCATACCTCTCAGAGTGAAGCACCACGAGCCCCGTAACGGTCTCAGGACTCAGCAACTCTAGATAGTCAGCCCCGTCCCTACTCCTTCTGTCCAAGAGCCGTACTCGACAGTAGGTCAACCACCAATATTCGAGAGGTAATGCTGAATATTCCCCCATGCGAATACATTCTTTCCCTACCGCCCATCAGCCCTTTTCCCCTTTCGGGCAATGCCTGAGGGCAAAATACCTCATCCCTACACTCATCATATCCGTATTGACCTGGCTCAGCCCCCTCGCCGCTGGGGTCTTGCTGATAGCAGCATGTTCCGCTAGCGCTTCACCAATCCAACCATTTTCTCTCTCATCCGCCCCCACAACAACAACCAGATTGCTTCCGATGGCATCGTAGGAGTGGAGTAGATTGGTGACTACCCGCAACAAGCCCAGGCCGCGGGCAAGTATGACGAGTTCATCCTCGTTGCGAAGCTCTGAGAAGCAGTCCTGCTGGTACTCAAGCGGTAATGACAATTTCACGGGGGGCTTCGCAGTTTCGGAGGGCATCTGAATCTCTCACCGAGTCCTGCGGGAGATCAAGAACGTTGAGAATGGAAGATCAAAAATATGTCTGCAAGACGAAGTGTAGACGGAGTTGATATGGCTGAGCGCGCTCTTACGGTAGAGAACTTCTAGCGTACCTCGGTATGCACAAAACGTTAGATTAGGCGTATCTTTACTTGTAAGATTAATTAGCAATGTGGATATTTCATCATGGTGGACAGCAATTCTAGTAGCAAGCGGAGAACAGTTTTTTCACCATGGACCGCCACTTGAATGTTAAAACTACTATTCAACAAATACGTTATTATGTCACATAGTGATAACGAATCGGAGCTATTGGAGGCCCGAAGGAGGAGGGGGCTTTGGAGGCTTTGGAGGACATGGACGAAGCGTTGGACTATTAGTCGGACTAGGTAGATAATCTTTGAAAAGAGCCTAGAATAGGACGCTGAGGGGCGCCGAACACCCTACAAATGCAGTCTTCTGCCTGCAAGGATGCGACACGAAATGAGCTCGGGACATTATTAGGCAAAAGTAGAAGTGTCCAAGACTAGCAGCCACAAGGAATGTTGATGTTGGAAATAATCTGCGGACGGAGGCTGGAGCGAGGACTTCGCTTGAACCAAAAAGTTGGATTAGATATTTAGTTGCAGGTCAATTGAGAAAGCTCACGCTTTTTAGAGGATCCTGAGGAGAAGCTCCACTAACACTTGCAAGACCATATTGCTTTGCGATGAAAAGTTGTGGTGGCTTTCTCAGACTTGCTGAATATCATCTGGGAAGGACTAAAGCTCCGTAGTGGACAAAGGTCGATCAGAGCCGAGTCCGCAGCTACGCTTTGGGAGCGCTACTCGGACTGACCCAATGCCGAAGGTCGAAGCACAACGTAGGGCATTACTCTTAGCGATGGCAAAGAAAGGTAGCAACAAGCGATCAGAGAAAGTGCCAAGTTGGGAGGGCGGTCCAGGAAACTGAAGAACAATGGGACAATGCAACAGCATCGGCGAGTCCGGGCGACAGAAACGTCACATATATTCAAGCGTACTCCAAGGGGTTTGATTTGAACAGCCATGACATTCCTGGCTTCTTCCCCCGTGAGATACGCCAACAACTGCGGCAATCCAGACAGAACACAGCACAGCAGATTATTGACATCACCATCAACACCACGGAGGGCCTGTTTCATCTCCATTCATGAGATTTCTATGCCAATCTGCATAAGAACAGTCATTCATACGCAAGACCCCTTTTCGTAGATGTCTCGGTAGCAGCGGGCCTCTAGGCGTCAGAAGAAAGCGACAGAAATAGCGAAGAAGGCAGATGTAGAGAAGTAAAAAAAAGATGCACATAGATCAACAGGAAGTTTTGGATTCGAGCGAAGAACATCGGTGCTGTTGTTTCTGACATGCAGCTATCTTTTAGGTTGGTTTGTCTGTTGAACAATTAGGATGGGATATTGAAGAGATATGAGCAACTTATTCGCTTGTGGTCATCCACCCTTCGAAACAAAGTCCTCCAACGGCAAGCGGAATACGTAATGGAGCATATCAAGTATTTCGATATCCGGCCCCTAAGTCAGAAGTCTTCAGCGAACAGTCTGTCAATAATGCTGCGATCAACCCCCAGCGTTGCGAGATCTTGACCAGATTCTGTACTTCTTTATCGATGTCCAGCAGATCCCTGATACTTTGAAAGATGTTTGAGCAGCTCACAGCTAGCACAGCTATCAACATCTGCAGGGAGACTTCTCGAGCTCCATGCGGATCCTCGGCCAAGGATATCACAGATGACCACAAGGTTTCTCTTCTTCAAGGTGTTGGCACCGAGGCAAAACGTCTCAAAGCTTTGCACATGCGGGTCCTCGTTCCCAGATACAACGATATTGGCCATATTTGGGACTCCACCCATCCTTCTATCTCTTTTGCTGCTCCCAGGCATTAACAAGGTCAAACCGTCTGGATACGCTGCTCAGTGCTCCTTTTTCCCCCTCTCCGGCCACGCTCTAGGACGAATCTAATTATTTGAGTTGGAATGATATCTAGGCGCCACTGTAGTTACTTCAATGACCCTGTTGTGCTTGTCGACGGTAATTTTCAGGTAAGGAGAAAGGCGCAAGGCACGCAACTGGTTGGATTTGGATTGGGCCGTGCTGGTGGTGCGGAGCGGAAGGCGGAGTCTTGGCATCGCGCTCATGAGGCCACCAGGCTGTGAGTTTTATACCCATATCGTACTTCAATGCTACATAGTTATTCACCATCGTCACTCATTATTCTTTCAAGCCGACTGTCTCTTCAACAGCCGAAATGAACGACAACTGGAAGCTTACCCCTATATTCTTAATCATTGGGAAACTAGAAAATTAGCATTCGGGCTAGCACCCCCCCCACCCAAAATCGTACTGTAGATATGCCCACCATATTATCGCTCCCACCAATCTCCCCATACCTCGCTGTCGCCAAATATGGCTACCAGTACACGGAATAAGCGGCCCCCTAACAGATTTGATGAGGAGGCCGCCGCAATCGTCGCCGACGCCACTAAAGGGGGGCGTAAATCGAAGAAATCTACCCTAAAACCTTCGACGAAGAAACCCTCCCTCCTTATCGGTGGTGAACCTGATGTAATCGAATAAAGCCCTCCTCCTACCGTCCCATTCCAGCCTATCAATCCTCCTATGGAACCACCGGCCTATTCCATCAGTACGAGTGTCCTGTGGAAAGGGAAGGAGGTATGGGCCCGTTCTACTACCTCCAAACGATTCGATTTCCACGAGTTTAATTCGATCGCTATTCAAGAGGTTGAACAGAAGGCGAAAAAGAAAGGCTATAGGGTGATCCTCAAGAGCGCCATTGCCACGCTCTCGTCCTCAGGAAACATCAAGGCTATGAATAGTCAATGCGGCGACATTGCTGAGTGGGAGGATACCGATAACCTAGCGAGACAATGGCTAGTTGAGGAAAAGAGAAAGGGGGTTACTGTAAGGATTGTACATACCTATGGTCCCAAAGAAGACTCCTCTGAATCGGAATCCTCCACTGCGGAAGAGCCTCCCTCGAAGAAGCAAAAGAAGACTAGTGGGACTACCGACGATGACTCTTCTTCAGATGACTCCGCTGCTACATCGGACGGTTCTAAATCATCCGAATCCAACAAGAAGAAGAAACAGAAGAAGAAGACCAAGACGCCTAGGCCTGGTAGCGCTACTGCCAAGCAAATACTGCATGCAAAGAAGGCGAAGAAATTGGAAAGAAAGCTTGGATCCGAAGGCCATAAGATTATGAAGCTGTGGCTATGTTCAAAGCCCGGCTGTCGAGGAAGGACGCATTACTGCTGGCAACCAGACGGTCCCGACGGTACTCATTACCTGCTCGACGGCGATCAAATCACCAAATGGAACAAGGCTATAGCGAAGCAGGAACGTGGTGTTGATGCCGAAAACCCGCCTATACGGATGCAGGAGCGAATGAAGTCTCGATGGGATCGGGCTATGAAGGCAAAGGCCATTGATAAAGAGATCAAGTCGGCTAAGAAGGAAGTCCACACGGTTGTTGACCCTCCTGTTCCCACTCCTGCTGCTACTCCAGCACCAATTAGTATATCACTTAGTGGATTAGGTGCCTCACCCTCGCCGGCGTAAGGCTTTTAGTAATAGTAGTATAATGCGTATTAACAGCAGTACAATCCGTATCAACAGCAGCAAGTTCAAGGCTATTCGCCCTATCAGCCAATGCTTCAGCAGCCTCAATATTTTCCCTCACAGCAGTACGCGCATACTCAGACTCAGCCCATTCAGCCTCACCTGCCCAGTCCAATTAAGCTACCGTCTCGTTTGGGTATAGCTGATCGATCGCCCTCTAAAGCGCCTCAGTTGCCGAGTAGTCCGGTTCGGGTGGAGGGTGATGCAGGCGAACTGCGGAGGGCCTATTTTGCCTGGCAAATCCAGAGGAATCCGAGTGAGGAAGCGGCCTTTGCAGACGCTCTGGAAAAGATTGAAGTAGAGTCATACACACTGAAGCAAATACGTCGGATGTCGCCTTCTGATTGGAAAGAGATAGAGGTTTCAAGAGGAATGGCCATACGGTTAAAGGATGAGGTGAAGGACTTTGTGGAGGTGCTGCGGCTTCGTGCTGCTACCTCTGCTGCTGGGTTCGCTAGTCGTCGGCCACATACTGCTTTGGACGCCCTCGCCGCCGCTGCCCTGCTGGAAAATGAGGTTATTGATGAGGATAGCGATGAGGAGGGGGAGGAGGGGGAGGAGGAGGCCTGAATAGCTGCATATCGGAGTTTGGAAAATAAGGTCCGATGATCGACAATTAGCGCCGGGCCTGCCGCCGTCACGCAAATCTCGAATATTCAACATATTTGAAATCAACCAATGATCACCTATTCAAACAATCTAAATAGTACAAAATACGAATTGAATGTGTGCTAAAACATAAAAAAAAAATCTCGAGAAACGATTGCATTTTGGTGTAAAAATGTTAGGTATAAGGGTTTTTTCTCCGCATTACGCTAAGATGAGGCTTAAAACTCTATCTTTAGACTTCCTCGCTACTCGAATAATAGCCTTCATCTTCCTCATATAACTCCTCTTCTTCCTCTTCATGATCGCCCACTGATATACCGGCGTGTGCGAAGTGGGCCTTAGCATGGATCCCTGCACTACAAGCCTGTACAGCCAGCTCCAAGTATCGTCTAAATGACATGCCCTCCGCTAGCTCAAAATGCCTCTTCAGCCAGGCCTTGAGGACCGAAAAGAACTCCTCAATAGGGTTGAAATCCGGCGAATATGGGGGCAAATACAAGATCATAACGCCTTGCTCCTCGCAGAGTCTTCTGACGTTGGCGGCATGATGTGTGGAGCAATTGTCCATGACGAGAACCGACTTTGGGCCAGGGAATGGGTTGCAGCGAGGGAGGACTTCGTTCTTAAGGAACCACTCGAACCGAGCACCGTCGATACTGCCCTGATGGATATGATAGCAAAGGATACCGTCTGAGCAGTACGCCGGTAGGACGCTATGCCGCTTAGAACGTTTAACAGGAACCTGTATCGCTGGCCGAATTCCAAAGGCTGCATAGCCTCGCTTCCTCCACATTGTGTGCTCATTAGCGGCGCTTTCGTCCAAAAAGACGAGCATATCATGTGTGAACTTGCTAACCTCCAGGAAGTACGCGTCACGGCAAATCTGTGAGCGTTCTAAGGCCTCGCGGCGAAGGCTTTTTCTGCTAATCTTCATGGAGTGTAGAGTCTTTGAGATCGTGGACTGGCTGACAAGTAGATCAAATCCATCAAATAGATCATACTGCATCTCGTCCTGATATGCCTACGGCTTGCTCTCGATAAAGGCCCTTAATCCGATCCTTGCAGCCGGAAAAATCGCGAACGGTCGCCCTCTCTTAGTTATGCGAGGCGCAGTGTGGGTACCAAACGCGAGGAGGTTATCGATAATGCGGTATGTGGTACTCTTTCCAACGCCCTCGACGGAAACAATGGAGGCGACAGCAAGCCCATTGAGGATATGCTGTTGAATGCGATCCTTGTGGGCATCGGACAGTGGAGGAAACGGCATTTTGAGGCCTTCTATACGTCAGCAAGAGGCCCGAAAAAAGAAACACCAAGTATTCTATACATACGAGCAATTCCAGCCTCAACTTGACGATGTAGATGGTTGTGGGAACGATAATATGATGGGCATGTCTACAGTACGATTTTGGGTGGGGGGGGTGCTAGCCCGAATGCTAATTTTCTAGTTTCCCAATGATTAAGAATATAGGGGTAAGACATATCCTCGGTCAGCGTTTTCCGCATAGCTTCTCCGTCGTCCAGAAAGCCCTTGTTGGCCAGCGCTTTGGACTTGATGACCGCCTGTCACGAATACACCTTCAACGATGCCGTCCGCTTTGTCCGACGCGGACAAGCAAATAATCAAAAGAGTGGTGCCCAAGGCGGTCAACAAGATACAGGCTGCTGCGGTGGCTAGGCTTTACGTAGCTTATCCAAATAAGCAACAATGGGTCTACACTGGACTTCAAGGTGCAGCTGTGCTGGCAGACGATCTGGTTGGGAACACCTTCTGGATCAAGTTGGTAGATATTTCAGTATGGTGCCCGCCTCTCTGCTCGGTTTGACTACGGTATTGAACAACAGCTAGGGATCCAGTCGCGGCGTGGTATGGGATCAAGAGATTTACGACCCCTTCTACTACAATCAGGATAGGACCTTCTTTCACTCGTTTGAACTTGAAAATTGTCTGGCTGGTCTATCCTTCGTGGACGAGAAAGAGGCCAAACAATTCAAGAAGAAGATGGACGACCGGGAGAAGAATGCGAGCAAGGCCACCAAAGCAACGCCGTTCCAAGGCTCGGAACCGCAGCCAGCAGGCGGGGTAGTAACCAACGGAAAATCGCACCATCGGTTCGGAGCCATTGGTAGCCTATTGCACGGCCAGAGGTCCTCCTCCGCTCCACACGTACCGCAACCACAACCGCAGTCTATTGTCCCTCCCCGGGAGCCTGCGCAACTCAACCATGCACAGATCAGTCCAAGCCGTGATAGGGCGTCATCGCTGGATACGGTTGATCCGTCATGGAGAGGGTTATTGGGCGAGCTACTGGAGATGGGCATCACCGAGGATCAGATCGAGCAGAATTCCGATTTTATTAAGGACTATATAGAACAGCGAAAGGCAAGCGGAATTCCGATTGGGGGCAACGATGGTGTCGCCAATGGCTTCGGCGATGATCGACGAGCCAATGCACCTCCCTCTCCGCTGCCAGGAGCTCCACCTGGACGATTGGAATCCATCAGCCCACAGGATACTGGCAGTACCGTTTCTTCGAAACGAGGTCCACCCCCTGCCCCACCGCCATCTCGAAAGACTCGCCAAGAAAGTCAGACTGTCATTCCCTCCCATCAGGAAAGGTCACGGTCAAGGTCTCCTGAGAGGACGCCATCACCACGCCCGGCTTACCAATTCCGGGCACCACCGCCACTCGCAGACGCTGGCAAGTTCGCGCAAGCGCCAGCTCCGAGCCTTCCGAAGCGTAATCGAGCTGTCTCGAACGTCGCAAACCCTGGTCCACCTCCACCTCCCAGACCTCCAAAGACGCCTATAGAGGACGAAGCGGATGCAAGACCAAAGTTCGGCGTCCCCCCACCTTTTCAAGGAGAAAGAAAGTCTTCGGTGGCCCCTCCACCACCGCCAAGTCGAGCTCCCCTACAGTCTTCTCCACGCACTTCTCGAGAGGCCGGTCACGGACATGCCGTACCGCCTAGCGTTGCCGCCGCGCCTCCGCTTCCTCCCAAAGGTCCAGCTGCACCACCTCCATCCGCGGGTCCGCCTCCCCCACCTCCTTTGCCTGGACAACGCCATCCATCCGCCAACCCCCCGCCACCTCCATTGCCCACGATACCAAGACCGGTACCAAGTGCTCTAACTTCTTCGGGAGGCCCCCCTCCGCCTCCTCCCCCACCATTGCCTTCATCCGCTGCACCACCTCCTCCGCCACTGCCCTCGTCTGGTGCTCCACCGCCACCGCCAATGCCAATGCCATCTGGCGGAGGTCCTCCTCCTCCACCTTTGCCGCCTGGTCGAGACTCCGTCAGCGCTCCACCCCTAACGAAACCGGCAGGAGGAAAGGAAGATGTGCTGGCTTCTATTCGAGCGAGCGGCGGCGTTGGTGGAGGCCGATTGAAGAAAGTCAGCGACCAGGAAAAGCGTGATAGTAGCGCTGCTACGGTCCCAGGTGCAGCATCCGGAGGCACTTCAGGCGGAGCAGCGCCGCCACCTCCTTCGGGAGGAGGTGGATTGGGGGATGCGCTTGCTGCGGCATTGAGTAAAAGAAACAAAAAGGTCAGCGCAAGCGGTAAGTTCTATATTTCCCTCCATAACAAACATTGCTATTTCTGACTTGACTTTAATCTGCACAGATGATGAAGAGGACCAGGAGGACGACTGGTAACGATGACAATTGGGACGACTTGCCAACGCGTGATGGACTGTGCCCGTTTCAGTTTGAACAAATGATCAGTTAGCGTATAGCTCTTGACTGATTTCAAGACTTCAGCAGAGATGGTAGCTAGAATTCAATTCCGTGAGTGAAAAAGATGAGATCGGTAGAAGTAGACCATTTGACACAGGTCGAATCCAAGGAGCTTCGGGATAACGCCTGACCTGAGCCCATTCTGGGTCCCTTTACCCCTGTCATGCCCAATAGAGGTCCCTAAAGTTCAACATATACCTTGCACTCCTGGAAGATAGTCCTAGGCAGTCCGTTGCTATAGAGCCGCCTTCCGAAAGTAGGGTTAGGGCTAATAAGCCTTGGCGTCTTGGCATGTGCAGGACTTTGGTGCAGACCTCCGTATATGTTGATGAAGATACAATCTATCTGGCGGCCTCAAAATTGCGATAATGGGAAGACTAATTTTCGTGCATTGCTTTTCTATACATCAAAAACACTCCCCATTCTGCTTTCTGGGGTTGCGAGTTTTTCAATGCCAAGACGCAAAGCTTCGTGCATACGCTAAATTTCAACTCCAATATTTCCCGTTCCACGAGGCCTTATTTATGAGCAACCATACAAACGAACTTTACCCCATGCTTTCTTGAGGATATGAGGCCTGCTCCTAGGCCGACTACGTCTACACCTTCTTTGTCTGTTCTCCGCTTTCTCCGGTCCCAGTCTGAGCATGCCTGCTTCTTCACTCCTAGCACAAGAGCAACGGCCTGCCCAATTTCTGTATGTCGAGGCGCAAAAGGAGCTCCAGGGAACGTAGCGCACGCTCTACCTTCAACAAGGAGACATCTGGTCACGAGTTCGCGCCGCCAAGCTTACGTCGAATCGTCTCTCCTCAATCTAGATTTCCTTAGACCATATTCCGAGCGAGGGTCCTCAAGATTTCCTGCCCTTGCAAGCAGGAGTTTGCCGGCGCCTTTTGGCTTTCCCCCAAGAAAGGCGAGCTCCTCTCAGTATCGGTCTACCGATACTCGACCGCTGTGGAAAAAGCCATGGAAGGACAAAATGCGCAAAGAAAATTCAGCCTTGAAGTCGAGTGATTCACCCGCGCTACCCAGTTTCCTGGATGATACTGGCAGCACGCATTTTGGTCGTAGGAAAACACTGAAAGGGCCGAACGAGTTGAAACTACGCTGCACAGAGTTCGATGAGAACGGGAATGTCACGTTCATGGATGGTGAGTTCAAGAAGTCCGAGCTAATTGCCAAGGTATGTCCAACAAATCTAGTGTCCGAAAGGAGAGATCGATGCTGATAGATGGTGTAGTATGGTCTACTCCCTCGTGACCTGAGAAAAATTGATTCCTCTCTATTGCCCCATATCCTCGTCCGTCCCTCCGCAATCTTGATCAATCTTCTCCACCTACGCGTTCTCATCAAGCACAACCGTGTACTCGTACTTGATGCATATGGTACTACGGACTCATACACTCAGTCCCAATTTATCCACGATCTTCAAGGGAAGCTGGGTCAGCACGAAACATCACGGCAAGCTGGAGGCTTACCGTACGAGTTCCGAGCTTTGGAAGCGGTGCTTATCAGCGTCACGAGTGGCCTCGAGGGAGAATTCGAGGTCGTCTCTGAGCCGGTGCAGAAGGTTTTAAAAGAGCTTGAGGAGGACATAGACCGTGACAAGCTACGCCATTTACTCATATATTCAAAAAGACTGGGCACATTTGAGCGAAAAGCTAGGCTCGTGAGAGATGCAATAGATGATCTACTCGAGGCGGACGATGACCTTGTGACCATGTACTTGACTGAAAGGGCGCAAGGAAAAGTCAGGGAAGAAGACGACCACACAGAGGTTGAGATGCTGCTAGAATCGTACCACAAAGTCTGCGATGAGATAGTCCAAATCGCTGGGAATCAGGTCAGCAATATTCGAAACACTGAGGAGGTGTAAGTGTCCCAAGTTTCGCCAACAACATTGTTCCATACTAACGTCAACAGCGTGAAAGCCATTCTTGACGCCAATCGCAACTCCCTTATGCTTCTCGATCTCAAGTTTAGCATTGGCACTTTGGGCATTGGCACTGCGGCCTTCGCTGCCAGTCTCTACGGTATGAATCTGAAGAACTTCATCGAGGAATCGGATCTCGGTTTTTTGGGAGTGACAGCCACGTCGACGGTCTTGGCAGCGGTGGTATGGGCGTATGGCCTCAAGAGGCTTCGAAGGGTACAAAGGGTCAGTATGTGGGGCGAGCAAGGGAGCAGGAGCCGTGGACCATGGACAGACGTCAACACCCCTCTACCGGCCTTACCAGGAGAGTCGAGGGTGGAGCGACAAAGGAGGCTGGAGCTGGCAAGGAATGAAAGTGGAGAAGACGGCGCAGGAGTAAGAGAAGGCTCAGAAGCCGTGGAGATGTATCCAACGGTAAATGAGGAGAAGCCTTTAAACGAGAAGTGAGACATTTCGTGGCCATTGGCCTTGGAAGTTGTCCAGGCACGGCCAGTCTGGTTGATTTGTCCTGCACAGCGATGGGAGCGTTCCGTGGCATCTGTATCTTGTACCAATAGGCCTTATGCAACTCAATCTGTACGGTTCGGAAATCCATTGCGTCGAGCCACGCACATCATTGGTATGATAATCACCTTGTTGTTATCAATCGTCTCTTGTCGACATCTACTCGGCGATACAAGCTAAGGCTAATCGTGTCTACCCCCATTTGCGCCCATTTTATATCCGACATAGATAGCTACCACTACCATGGCTACCACTACTCCTTATTTAAATAGCCTACTATCATAGTCTATCATAATGACTAATACTACGGTACTATAGTCGCCGTCTGTAGGCCTGGTATAGCAGAAATCTCTGTCCTGGACTCAGATGTAGCCTATTTTTATTCTGGCTATTTTTAAAGACACGAAGAGAGACTGAGAGGTAGAAGTCTAGTCAAGAAAAAGGCTACTATACCTCCCACATCAGGTCTAATAATATTACTAAACCTCGCTTTATCACCTTCACTACAGTAGTAGACTTTATCGAAGACTTTATTATAGACTTTATTTTAATAATAATAGCGAGACGAAAGAGATAAAAGAGATAAAAGAGATGAAGAAGGTAAGAAAATAATAGAAGAAGAGATAATAGAAGAAGAAATAGACTAATAGTAGAGAAAGAGATAGTAGAAGAGATAGTAACGATTTTTTTAAGACATGATAGATCGATAAGGTCTAAAAAACGATAATATAGGTTCTCCGATATAGATCATTGTTATTATGCTAGTTTGCTATATAAATTTGATGAGAGGTAGACATTTAAATAGTATAAGGGCCTCTTCGATAATTACATATTTTCAAAATATGCCAACATATATTACCCCACCTCTTGACAAATGAAATGTAAGTTCAAAACAGCACTAGTAGATAGTTGAAAATATGTAAAATATAGGTACGGTTTCGTTCGATAACCCTATAATCTCGCTGAGTGAGAATCGAATAATATAGGATAGTCGAAAAATTCTTTCTCGTCAGAGACAATTGCCTTCTTACCTACCAGTGTGTAGGGAGGCATACAAAAAGCGCTTTATATAACTGCAGAATAGCTATTAAGGATTTCTTTGGTATAGGCATAGCCAGATAGAATAGACGTTCTCCGCATTTGCTTGTCATAATGAGAAGAATAGTACTGAGCAGCAGTAAGAACGACACTTGCAGCTACCTCTTCAAATAGAGAGTCATCCATAACTGAAATATAGCTATTGCAGTCATGAAATGTGGCTACCAGTCATGAAAATGAAAAATATCGCTATTGCAGTCATAAATGTCCATTATTTCTATGTGCTTAGCGCACATTGGGCCTCAAATTATGGGTCAACCCATAATTTACATATTTTCAATGTGCAATGTGGCCTGGCAAGTGAAAATATGGTTACCGAACGTAACCGTGTATTAATAGTACGCTAAGTTGAAAATATGTTGGCATATTTTGAAAATATGTGGTTACCGAAGGGGCCCTTAAAGATGTTCATTATTCTATGTGCCTGCAGGGCAGATATGTGCGGTGCCAAGCCACGCTAGGCCCAAATGGGTGGTGGCTCTGGAGGAGGCCTTGGCGTACCGTGACATGGCTGTTACGTCGGAATTATCGGATTTAAAATGGGCGCAAATGGGGGTAGACACTTAAGTCCAGCCTTGGCGATCCGTCCTCACCATCCTGGACGCCACTACCTTCTTAAGGAGGAGTGCGAGGGAGTACTCGAAGTCACTTCGTGCTGGTCATGGAACGAATCCGTTGGTCTGTCAGTCGCTTGAATCCTGAGCACCAGGTCCCTTTTTGAATCGCTCGCCAGTTGCTATGTCAAAACCCTGGCTCCTGGTATCTCCTGCCTCTCGTGGCATTGGTCTCCAGCTCGCCAGACGCCTGCTCAAGACCACAGATCTGCCCGTCATTGCAACAGCACGAAAAGATGTGAAAATGACCAACGAGCAGATACTGAATGGCCTCGACGTGGACAAGCAGAGGCTTGAGGTGCTGAAGCTCGATGTGACTGGTACAATTTCGCCAATGTTCCTACCGATCTCGAAATTCCCGTTGACCATTTTCGTCAGATGAAAGCACCATCTCTAGAGCGGCATCCCACTGCAAATCCCGTTTCTCATCCAGCTACCTCCGCCTCGCTTTTTGCATCCCTGGCATCCTTCATCCTGAGAAGTCCCCCTCCCAAATCGACCACGCCAAGGCCCTGTCCACCTTTCAAGTCAACACGCTCGGTCCCCTGCTCCTCTCAAAGCACTTTTCGCCTCTTCTACCCCGCCGTTCCACGACCCTCGAACCCATCCCGCACCTTCCTGCTTCCGCTGTCCTTGCCCTGATGTCTGCGAGAGTGGGTAGCATAAGTGATAATAGCCTTGGTGGATGGTACAGCTACCGTGCAAGCAAAGCTGCTGTCAATTCCATTGCTAAAAGCATAGATATCTATCTAAGGCAAAGATGTGGGGAGAACGCGATGTGTGTGAGTTTGCATCCGGGCACTGTGCAGACAGGGTTGAGTGAGGAGTTTTGGGGAAGCACGCCAAAGGAGAAGTTGTTTACGCCTGAGTTTGCCGCCGAGAAGTTGATACAAGTTGTGAACGATGCCGGGTTGGACGGGAGGGGCAAATGCTGGGACTGGGAGGGAAAGGAGATACCGCCTTGATGGGGCCAATAGTAAAGTGGTCGAAGCAGATGACACGAGTGAAGGGTAACGAAGACAGCTTTGATTTCTTCGAGTTACCGGTTCTATCAGGACATGCGTCTTCTCCGGCCAACTTTAACCTGCCTGATCCCAAGCCGAAATCGATTTTTCCAAGCTGTACTACTCCCTATGGTCCGCTGGAAGTGCTCCACCTGTCACCCGCATTGCCACTATGTAGTGCCAAAAGATTCTCCAGCCCTGCATACAAGCTCCCCGTCCCGCTCGTCCCACTTGACCGATCACAGTCCTTACCCGACAAACCAATGGAGCTATCCCCATTCGTGCCTCCCATTCCATTCAGTCCTCGACTACCACCGCAAGCCGCAGACGTGTTAATCACAGCCAGAAATGCACTCTCGAGCATGGCGTTCTTCCGTTCCATAGCGGAGAGTCGCTCTTCGAGACCGCTCATTTCATGGATCAAGGAGTGATCTGAGGAGCGATGCGAGCGTCTTCGCAAGAGAGGAGACAGGTGGGGCGTCGGTACCCGGGAAGCAACAGGGCGCGGAACCGGCAGCGAATGGGACGACACTGGGCGTACTTTGCTCTCGTCCTCCGGTCCCTGCAGAGTCGGGGACGCTAGATGAGGCGGCACAGGATAGAAGCCATTTGTTTTGAAACCCCGCGGATGCTCGTCCATGCTATTTCTGCCGAAGTGTGACTTTTGGGATGGTGCTCGCTGGACTGGGGAAACGGGTTTCTGCTCAGCGACTATGATGATCGGAGAGAGCCTTTGAGAAAGCGTGCTGCTGTCGCGATATTGGAGTGTCGTCGTCGCGCTCAGATTGCTGACTTGAGAGTGCTGTGTTCTGTGCTTAAGTTCGAAGAGCGCATAGTTGTAGGAATCTCGTGGACTTGGTAGCTCCGCGACCCCTTCATGGCATCTCTGATCGTTCACTGTGTTCCGAGTGACCGGTTCGACCGCTTCAATCGTTGCCTCGTGAGACCTCATGCGAGCTAAGTCTCGATGTTTCTTTTTTCGGGTATTCTCTGCTCCTTCTTTCTTCAGCTGTTCTAGCTCGTCTGGTGTGCCAACGCTCAGGCTTGTGGGCAAGTGATCCAACCGCGGAAACGAGATGCCGCGTCTCTTCGAGCGGAGTGGCGGCGACGGCTGAGACATCTCTTGCTCTGTTTCAGTCGCTGCATTCATCCTAACCGGCGAACCGGGTCTTTTAAGTGGGCTGCTGTCCACGGAAGGGTACAGTTTGTATTGGGATCTGGTAGGTGACTTTTGCGGTGGTACCTTCGGGGACGAGGTCTCTGGGCTTGCTAACCTCCGGCTTGAATGACTGGCTCTCGGTGTCGCTGGGCCGAAGCTGTCGAGCCCTTCAGGCAAAGACGGCAACGGCGTGAGAGGTGCAGGCCCGGGCTGAGGTGGTACCTTGACGAAGACGGCGCTTTGGGCATTAGATACAACGCCGGATGAGGCATCTGATTGGATGTCTTCTGCAGTGGATTCGGCGGACACAACGGAAGGCGCCTTGGAATGGTAGTTGATGACGGGTGATGTCTTGGTCCCTGGAACCTGCTCTTGGGTCATGGGCAACGGTGGCGTTAGAGGTCTGGCAGGTCCCCTGAAAACCATTGGGGGAAGGATGATGCGACTGGGACTCCGATTCAGTGGTTTTGCTGATTGACCTTCACAAGTGACGGCATCCCAAGATCCGTCTGGCGCGACTGGAGCTTCTGTCTGTTTGCCCATTTCCTTGGCTGGACTGCGTGATCTGCGCCGAATGACCGCGCGAACACGCGAAAATGGTGCCGGACCATTGGCGGCAAAGTCGCGGACTCTTGGCTGGTACTCAGCTTCTGGTACTGGGACTTGAGAAGCACCTACAGTCAAAGTAGTCGTCTCGCCTTGGGACAGTATCTGAGAAAGGTCCCTCAATAAACCGAGAGAGTCATCAGTGGTGCTCTTTCTTGGTGACGATTGCACGGTTGCTGCTTCGGTCAATGGCTTGGGTTCGATGGGTCCGTTTCGTCCAGGTGCGGTGTTTCCGTTCGTCAGTCTGTCCCTGAGAACTCTGTTTCCGAGACTTTCGGAGGTAGGATCGGGAAATCCAACGGTCTGGTAAGGTGACATTCGATGTTTAGCTTCTTCACTTTCAAGGCTCCTGTGGGCCGAACGCTCATGTACCGGTTCCTGGGTCGCATTGACTTGATGAACGATCGAATTGACATCCCCAACGAGATCCAAAGGAGCTGGGGGATGCCTTCGTTGGCCTTCACTCGCAGGAGAGCCCATAGGACGTCTGCTTTCATTAACCCGGTAGGTTGATGCGTTGCCACTGCTATCGTATATTTGTCTTGAAAGGATCTGTCCATACTTGCGACCATCTGAAGTCCTGTGTATCGCAATTGGCATCTTATTCTCTTTCGAAGACTTGCGTTTAGAGCGCGAACTGAAAACTGTCTTGAGTGAATGCTTGCGATGCTCCGGTGGTGGTTTATCGTCCCCAGTCGCGCTTGGAGGACCCTTGACAAGCTCCTCGCATATCTGTTTGTTCAACCTCCTCGCCTCGCATATCTGTTTGTTCAACCTCGTCGCCTCCAAGTTGTGAATGAAGCCAGCATTTCGTGGCTGGAGTCGCGTGGATCCCTTGGGGAAATGGCGCTTTGGATGCAGCTGCGGCGAGTCTCCGTCAATGCTGCTTTGCGGCGGGTCTGGAAATCGGAAAGTCGCTGGATCAATGTGCAGATTGGAATCCATCATAACCTAATCGTCGGAGATGTGACGAGTTGTTAAATGCTCGAAAGTTGTGTGTGAGACGGCTTTTAACCCTCGGCCTTAAATTAGCAAGGGGCCGGGATCGGAGTAAGGTGTTCAGTCCTAGTGCCGGGTTTTCAAAAATATCACGAGAAGTCTGCCAGAGAAGAAAGTGGGTAGGTTGCATATGCATTCATGCAAGGGGCGAGGTAGTTCAGTACATTCATTGGGGCAAGAAGGCAGCAAAGGATCAGCAAGGCACAAGATGGGAAGAAGGGGAATAGAGGTAAGAAATCGCCGCAGTATCGGATTGCCACAAACCTCAATCCACGCGGCTCAAGAAGGGGTCTCTGTTTGAAACAATTCTTGGTTGCGAGCCGGCGCCAGGACAATACCCCCATGGTTTGCATCATGTAAAGGAGCCGCTAGCCGGCTTGCACCAACTGCGCCCCGAAAACGCCCGCTCATACTGTAGTATGTGACCAGCATACTGACGCCTAGCAAGGCATTTATCTACATGACGCCTTGCAAGATGCAGCGCTGAAACGAAACAGTAAGCAATAAGACAGCGTCTCTTCGAATCGAAAGGCAGGCAATCACAGCCTCTTCTTGGGCCTAATAAAAGGATCCGCGTCTCTTTTCTTCTTTGGTGGTCGAACTATATGTTGTTGAGGGAGAGGTGGCCTAATTGTAGGAACCTCTTCCGCTTTGATCACTTGACTCGAGCCGTTCCCCGGACGCGTTGACTGTCCAGAATATCGCACCACTCCTGATGCCACGTTGAGGTTCCCGGACCGGTCGTTGATTCTGTCGACTTGCCTTGGTCCTGCCGCAGCCGCAATACTGTTCGGCGTGGCCGAGCTTGGCGCATTGTTCGCTGGCCTTGGAGGAAGATTGGGGCTCTTCGATGGCGCGTTGGATGGCCTGGGAGGCAAAGTGGAATGTGATGAAGTGCCATTTCGATTCCTGCTATGGCTTCCGTTGGGCAGCCTAGATAGCGGTTGGTCGCCGTTCGATGGTCGTTTGGGTGCATCTTGTTGACTCAGTCCGAAGGGCCCACGTGCTGACTCAGGTCCCTTGGGAGCGTCTAAAGGCGGAGAACGTTCTCTTTTCCTTTTCTCGCCAATGTGCTGAGTTCGCCCTAGGCGATTTGGACCAATATTATCAGGTGCTGGTGTCTCAGCCGTACTCCGTACAACAGGTACTTGCATGCCATGGGACCCCATTTGCCTCTTCCGCCGGATCTCTGGCAAACGCTGTAAAAGGTATTTGTGGTCCGCCTCGGTCTTGGTAAGCCGTTCCTTTTCTTTCTTCGACAAAGGCGCCGTACTGCTGCAAGTCTTCTGGGTATGGTCAAATAGACCGCAAATCAGACAGCGGTCCCTTGTGCAGGAGGCTTTTACATGGTCGGAGCCGGCGCAGCGATAGCATTTGTTTGGGCTCATGTTCGCGGCGTCTGGGTTGTCGCAACGACTGGTAAAATGTGCAAAACTGCCACACTTCTGGCAATTTTCAAGTGGATTCAGGCCGTTCGCTCCTCCGGCAGGCTTCGACGGCATCGCCGCGGCATCATTGAACAGTCTGCTGTGGACTGGTGAATCTGCAACGACTGAGCTGCGGCGTCTTGCAGCGGTGGAAGCGCTGGAGGCTGGTGCGTCAATCATCTCGATATCGTGATCGACATCTGAAGGACTAGCACTCGTCACCGGTGAATCTTTCTTTCCGGTAGGCATGGCCGAGTCCAATTGTAACAACGGTTTCTTCAAGAGGCTTACCAGGTCACCGCTAGTGTAACGGTCTCGACGCTTTGCATCTTGGATCAAGCGGCCCCAAAACTCCCCCGTATCAGAGATTGGGAATTGCCCAAGACCCATAGCGATGATTTGGCTCGTGTAATGCCCACGTTCATTCGCCGAATATCCGACAGAAATCCGATGCCGCCGCTAAAGGATGCCCGAACACAGGAGAAAATGATTACCTCGCTCTCGCGTCCTTGAAACGCATCCGTAGTATTGAACTCCACAGTGGTCAGCACGGAGTCACCATAGATTTGGGCAAACCGAGAGCGAAGTTCCCGCAGCTGGCTTTTGTAAGGGGTGATTATCCCAATCTTTCCTTTGAATTCGTAGCCCTTGCAGTCGGTAATCAGACGCTCAAATAGCTTGAGTGCCACTTCGATTTCCGCGATATTGATCAACGAGTGACCACGGGGAACACTTTGCTGGGTACCTTGCACATCAAAGAAGCGGTATGGTCCGAGGATCTTGCTCTGGTGCCAGGGTCTTGTCCTCAGCTTGGCCATGTCTGGTCCATCCAGTAGTTTAGCATCGTAGAAAGCGTTGCTAGGGAAAAGACTGATCTCCGGATGCATGCGGTATTGAGTATCCAGAAGATGGACGTCGTTGGGACTATTGGCTTGCATGCGGACGAACAGACTCTGCTCGTATTGGAATCGTGCAGCTTCTCTCGAAAGCACTGTCGGCGGCAATTGTTTGGGGTCGCCCACCAAGATGCACTTGGAGCATCCGTACTTGAGAGGGATCAGCGCGCTGAGCTCGATTGATTGGGCGGCTTCATCGATGACGACAGTCTCGAATTCAATATTCAGGCCCTGGAACATCTCGTGACCGCTGCCACTCAGTGTAGCACAGATCACATGAGCACCGTCGAGGACTTCTTGTTGTACACGCCGCCTGCTCATCTCTGCATCTCTGGCGGCCGTATCACCGCTGTCTCGAGCCACGTCGATCTGATTACTGAGCTGTTGCTTCTTTCTCTTCAACACTTCAAATTCGCGATCCTGCTCTGCGGACACCGGCATTCCGCTGGCTTTGAGTCCGTCCACCACTGTCCGAAGACTATGAAGTTGGTCGCTTGTGGACTTGTGTTCCATCATGATCTTGTGGATCTCGTCTCCGGTCCCCGTTTTCTTGCCACTAGCGACATTGAGTTTTGCGTTAACGAGCTCTTCCAACGTCACGTCCAGAACGTTGGTATTGATGGCATCGCTGCGGCCAAGACGAATCACTGAGAGAGTCTGTGAGTTTCCCTCGGCTGTCTTAATGCCTTGCTTGAACCTCATGACGAGCTCGTCGACTGCCGCATTGCTTGGAGCGCAGACAAGTAGCTTTTTGAGGCAGCCCCGTTGCCGCTGCGCTGCACGTTTCCACTGTTGCTCTGCGGACGAGCAATAGGCACGCCTTTATCAGCGAAACTACCGGTCAACAGTGCACCGACAATGGCCACTATTGTCTTAGTCTTGCCTGAGCCTGGTGGACTATGCCACAGTATTAGCGGCTGCTAGCGCGGCAAAGTGTCATACATCAACATACCCTTGGATGAGAGTGAAAGCATCATTGTCAACAGCTGATTTGACAGCTTTGGCCTGTGCAATGTTGATACTGTAATTCGCTACGAGGGGTCCCAGGTGTTTTTCTGAGTACTCGAGCAGTGGCGATGGTCTCGCTCTAATCACCTCATCGCAAAGGTCAAAATACTTGAGACCCAGCAAAGCACCGTATTCCCTCTCCAACGGTATGATGGACGAAACCTTGACACCGTATAACGTGGAATTAGGTACCATCGACGCCACTAGGCCGTTGCCCACGTTCGCTCTGTACGTTATTTCCATCGTGGACTTCTTCCGACTGACCTTGAAGACGCGGGCAAGACAATGCGCTTGCCGGGCTTCAGCTGTAGGTGACTGATGTTTTGACATCAATACTACATCGGCTTCACCGATCCCAAGCTCCTTACCTTCAGCCATCGATATAGTTGTGCTGACTTCGAGAAAGGCATCGACGGTCATGCGATTTGCTACCTTGATTTCGAAGGTCTTGAAATTGCCTTCTTCTTTCGACTTCAAGAATCCCTGCCACGCTTCGAGGACTAGCAGGGGCTCAAAGGTATTCTGATAATCGGTGGGGGTTCGAAAGCTGTTTGTCACTAAGCGGTAGTCCTGCCTCTCGGAGCCTGGGGGAAAGTCGCCGTTGTGGAAAAAGTCCCAGCCGAGGATAGTCTTATGGAGAGCCGTGAGGTCGGGTGCCAATCGTGCACGCATATCTTTGGCAGACCTGACCTGCCTTGTCTTCTTGATCGGTCCCTTGTATTTGGCTTGTATGGCTCTGGCAGCTTGATATTCTCGGACCACATCAGGGAGTCTCGACGGTTTGGGGCCGAAGAGCTCTCGATCCAGATCGTTGTCTGATTCGGATTCTGAGCCCGAGGATAACATCATACTGGACGCCTTGGGGGCGTGATCCTTGCCTTTGACGCCGAGGCTGCCCAAGCCCGAGCCTTCCCCGAAAGTTTGTCCGGAATTGCCAACCGCGGCCTTCTTCTTGACCATGGCCAGTGTCTCGGCATCTCGCTGCTTCTTTGCTTCTCGGTCTCTTTCACGCTTTTCGCGGAAGAGAGCGCGGTCAGCGTCAGATGCGACGACTGCCTTGGCCCCCTTGAGGGCTTTCTTCTCCCGCGTTGGGACGGTAGACGGTTTGCGATCCCGAGTCTCTGTTGGTTTCCTGCTCGCAGCGATCGAGGCCTCCATGCCCTTCATCAACTCCGCAGAGCGACTGACGGATAAGAGGTCCTGGTCCAGGATGTCGGAATCGCCAAATTCATCGTCAGATACCTCGACGACGGGCTGAGATGACTTGGCTTTGGACCTCCAAGAATCCAAGTCAATAACCCCGCCTTGATTCTCTTCTTGACAGCTAGGGACTGCTCTTGGCTACGATCCGACACGGGTCCAGACTGTTCACCATCAGTATCTGCCAAGGCAACCGTACGACCCAGGTTTGACTCCAACGCTCTTGCGAGCTCGGCTTTCTCCTGTGGTTTCAAGTGTGTCCTTCCTTGAGGTCCATTGTTGATCACTTGCTCCAGGAAATTGCAGGGTCCTTCAGCAAGGGTCATGGACAAGTCCGTCAGTCGATCCAAGACTTTGTGGGTAAGCTTTACCGAGATTTCCACGAGGAAAAGATCACGTAGTCTTAGCCATTTACTCATTGCTTCCATGATCCGAGCGGGATGCTCCAGAAGGCCCTTGCCGGCTTTGTTTTCCTGGGCTCCGGTGGTACCGTCCTCCTGCTTGACGGGATTTGCAGAATCAATCGCAGTTGCGAAGACGCTGTACTGGTCGAAAAATCGTTCCGAGAATTGCATGGTATCTCTGCAGAACTCCTTGAGTAGATTGGAATCAGCAACTCTCGCCCGACTCCAATCCTCCGTCGTCTCGTATATCACTCTCAGACCTTCCCACTGGCATTCCCAGAAGTTCTCCAGCGCTTTGGTTTCGGGTGTGCCGGTGAGCGAACGGGTTCGGAGTAAGCCGTGTTGAGAGTCGCAGAGGATGTCAAGCACATCGGAGGAGGTCTTCAACATGCGGGGGCAAGAAGCAAATGTCCGATTACGTGCAATGCGACGGATAGACCAAGAGAATGCATTCAGTGTCGTCTCGAGGAAGGTCTTGAGTAAGTGGCCAATGGCCTCCTTCCGAGCTGATTCGGAGCTGATGCTTTTGATGAGATTGACTCCTGCTTCGTATAGGTTGGCATCCGGCGAGAAGAGCGATGCAACCAATGCAGTAGCCGTGTCAGAGTGGCGGAAGAGCTTATCCAGATCGCTTGGGCCAAAGTCATTGATACGCTCCAAGATTTGACATACCAAATGTGTGAGGCGGCCGAATTTGACGTTGAATCCGCTTTTGGCTTTGGCGTAAATCTCGTCTGCTTTCACCTTGGGGTTTTCATCCACGTTCACCTTGAATTTTTCGAGCCCCGTGAGATCGTTGATGCCGACCAGAGCTGCCTTAGCCACGGCCACATTGCCACGGTCGAGATGTTGAACTACAGCGTCCCAAATGGCTGGGGGAGTACGACGCATATCCATCCGAGACTTCTTTGTTTTGCTTCAAAGCCTCTTGATCCGTCTTCAAAGATTTGCATTCCAACGCGAGAGCAACCTTGACAATCTTCAGACAGGTATCTGCGCAGTGTTCATGGAGCTTGTTGTCAGTAGGCATGGAAGGTATCTCGATGATCTCTTTGACGTACGCGCTAGTTACTTCCAACGTCTCGGCGGCTGGGCAATTCGACCCGTTGGACTCAGTGTAGCACCCCTCCTATCGTTATGAAATTTAATAATATATTTAATAGTAGAACTAATCTCTAAGAAATATTAAAACTTCGAGGTATATAAAGTAAATCTATATTCGTTAAGCTTCTAAGTATATAAGATATATTATTAAAATTAAACTCTAAAAGGAATTCTAATATAATATATATAATATCGATATCTTAGTATAAGTAGCGTTAAGGTTTATAATAGTATTAAATCTAATAATTATCTTCTCTTTTAAACTTTAATTTCTAGATATCTAAATAGAAATAGAATATTTATTAAAAAATCTTTAAATCTTAATAGGAAAATAAGAGAAAAGAGTTAATCTATTACGATATCGTTTTAATAAGATAATAGAATTAATTATTACGCGCTATAAGCGCGTTATTAATATATTATATAATAATATTAATATTATCTTCGAGAATAATATCGCTTTTACGATATTAATTAATAGTAATTTATAACAAGTTGATATATTTAGTATTAGCGTTTTTATAGCGCTAGTTAATAGCTTCTATAGCGAATAATATTAAATTTAAAAATTTATAATAAAATCTTAAAAAAGCTAATAGATAAATAAAGATAGAAGAGTTTTTTTATAGATAATATTATTTTTATAGCGTATTACGTTTATAGCGAAGTAATATAATAATAATCTTTATTATAAGAATTCGAAGAAAGTAATTAATAGAGCGACGCGTTCGCGATAATACTTTCGATTATTAATTAATAATAATAATAGAAATAATAATAATAATTAGATAACGCGATTTTATAGATAATAGCGAAATATCGCCGCGTTACTACTATTTATATTATTAGATATTATTTATTAATAATAACGCTATAATAGAAAATATAAAAAAAAATTTAAATTATTTATTTTTATTCTTTATAACTTCTAATATCTCTTTTATAAGTATTTACTTTAGCGCTATAATATTAATATTAATATTAATATAAGTATAATATATCTTATTATATTAATAATCTACTTCTCTTTATTATAAGTATCTTATTATTATTAATCGCGTTAATATATAAACTAATAATTTTATAATATTCTTTTTTAATAATAATAATAATTTTAATAATAAATATATAATCGCTTTATAAACGCGATTACTAACTCTTAACTATTTCTATTATTATTACTTTATATATATAATTATTAATAAATTCTAATATCTAATTTATTATATAGAATTTACTTTTATTAAAATAATAATTTATATATTTAAAATAAGTCTTTCTTCTATAATAACTATAAGATTAAAAAGCGCGATATTAATCGCTATATTAAAATTTCTTTATATCTTTAAATATAAATAAGAAAATTAATATAGCGCTATCGCCGTATTAAATAATTTTAAAAGTTATTTTATTAATAGACTAAGCTTAATAAGAAGATTATCTAATAATATAAATTATAGAAATATATAATAATAACGACTTCGGCCGCTTTTATTATAATTATAGATTTTTAAGATTAATTTATAATAATAAATAAGTATATAATAAAGTTACAGAAAATAAACGAGTTATTAGAGAAGAAGCTCGAGAGCCTTTATTAATATATAACGAATATCGACGAGTATTAACTCGAAGATTATACTTTAATTATCTTTTTATTAAAAAATTAAATTAATAAATTTAATTCGGTTTTTAACGTTAAGATAGCGGAGGATATTTAAATAATAATCTTTTTTTAATAATAGCGCTAATATAAGATTTTTAGATAATTTTTTAATAATTACTCTAGATAAAAATACGCTTATATTAATAATATATATTTTAATATAATAAATTTCCTTTATAATAGAGTTTAATAGATAATTAAATAATATAATTATTTTATTAATTTATATTTTAATAATAATAAGTATAAAGAAGTACGCGCGTAATATAAGTATTATTTAGAAATATATCTAATCTAGTTAATAATTATATCTTATTTTATTATCTTTATTTATTTATCGTTAATTTATATAATTAATTAAGCTCTTTAATAATAAGAGACTTATTATTTATTATTTAATACTTTCGCTTATTATTTATCTATTTATAGATTTAGATTAACTCGCTAATATTAATAAGTTTATTATTTAATAGTTATTAATTATACTCTTTATCTTAATTAGTCTATTTAATTTTATATTAAATATCTTTTTTATACTTAATCTTATTAATAATTTTTTTAATTTTTTAAAGTTTATTATTATTAATAAGCTTAAGAATCTATATAAAGATATTCGCTATATTACTATAATCGCGATTATAATAAAATTTAAATAACGATATATAAAAGATATTATAAATTTTATATATTAAGAGTAAAAGTAAATAATATATCTACGCTTCTATCTTATCTATAATTCGAAATAATTCTATAAATTTATAAAATAATTTCTTATTTAGACGTTTTTACTTTAGATTTTTAATCGTTAATATTACTAAATTATTTATCTTATAACTTTAAAATTAATATATTTTATTATAATATTTAAACTAAATTATAATAACGCTGCGAAAATACTCTACTATCTTATTCCTTAATATCTTCTCTCTCGATAAAGTTATTCTTAATCTTCTAACGAATTTTAGAATAATATCTATATATTAGAAAGAATAATATTATTTCGATAAAGGAATACTAATTATTTATATAAGCGAACTCTACTATTAATAGTTATTTCGCTTAAATATTTTACTTATTATTAGTAAATACGTATAAGAAGTATTTTAATATCTAATTTTATTACTTAATCTACTTATCGATTTACGAATAAAAGGCGATATTTAAATATTACTTAATTTTGAAATAAAAGTAAACGACGGATTAGAAGCTATTAATAAATATAGAACTTCTATTATTAATAATATTATTTAATATATTATAGCGATATATTATTTTAGAATAAAATACTTTTATTAGTTAAGCGATATCGATTATAGTAGATATAAAAATATATCTTATTATTTTTATAAATCGATTTACTATAATTAGAATAGTATCGTAAATAATATTCTTATATTTACTCGCTAATAAGTCGATAATAAAGTTTATAAAAATTTTCTTTTATAATTTAATAGCGATAAGAAGTAAATTTAATTCGCTATAGAGGCGATATCGCGAAGTCTGAATTTATTAATAAACGTTATATATCTTAATATAGTCGATAACTAACCTTAAATTTTTATTCTAATAATATTTATAAATAAATAGTTTATACATTTTTATAGCGTTAAAATATTCGAATAATAAATTATTATAATATTTATTAATAAGTTTTTCTTTTAAGATTTTATTCTTAGAAATATAAAGATAATTATTATATTTTAATAGTTTTTTAAAATCTAAGATTTATATTTAATTATATATATAACGCTTAATTATTAGCTTATTAATATTAATTTAAAAAGAGTTTACTTAATTATTGTAGACTTATAAATCTTAAATTAATATTTTTATTAATCTTTAAAATATATTATAAGTAATCTCTTATACGATTTTAGACTCTCTTTTAGAAATAACTATCTAAACGCTAATAATATAAAATATAAACGCTTTCGCCGCTATAATCTTTTTATCTCTTTATAATTACTTATTACTAATTTAAAGTACGAATTTATTTTATAATATCGATAGTAATTTAATTTTTAATAATGATATTTTTTTATAGTTAGAGCGTCGCGATAGCGAGTTAATAAGATTTAATTTATTTATTTAATAAAATTTTTTAAAGTTATAAGTAGCTAACTTTAGCGCTTAATAAGTTTATTTAAAATTTAATTTCTTTTACTTTATAAAGCTTTTAAGATTATTATAATTCGTTAAAATTTTAATATAAATATATTATTTTCTAAATAGTAATATTATTATTTTATAGATATTATAATAATAAATAACTCTTAATTATAAATCTTATAATTTTACTTTATAGAAATTATTTTTTTAGATTAAAATATTATTAATTATTAATAATTATTTTTATTCGATTATAAAAGTATAATTTTTATATTAAAGTTAAAAGCGTTAATTTTAAAATATAGCTTTAAATTTAAATTATAATAGCGTAAAAATAGCGCGATTATAAAAGTATTTTAAAGCTATTAAAACGTTAGCTTAGCGTTATCTATTCACTCTAATAATTTAAAATTTTTATTATATTTTTTTTAAATAAGTTAGTAAGTAATATTATTATATTAAAATAGCTATAGATAAATTATTAATAGAAATTAATAAAATCTAAAAAGACTTATATATCTTAATAATTTTTTAATTTTAATTACTTCTTAATAATAGCGATATATTTCTAATTTATCGCGATATCTTTAATAAATACGATAAACTCTAAAAACTTAACTCGCTTAATATAGAATTAATACTTTTTTAAATTAATATATAGTTAAAACTAATATAAACGCTTAAGTATTTACTTAATATATTATTAATACTTCGCTAAATTAGCACTATAAATTAGAATATTATTTAAATCTATTATATATATTATATCTATTAGACTTATAAGAGTCTTATTAATATATATTTAAAAAGTTATTAATATATTAACGAGTTTAAAAGATATAATTAAATATTTAAAGTAGTTATAATAATTATAAAACGCTATTTTTTACTTATCGCCTTCTTTAATTTAAATTTAATAATAGATATTCTTAAAATTTAGCTTTATAAAGATCTTAAATTTATATAAGCGATTTAAAGTCTTAATAATTAGAGATAGCGAGTATTAATTTTTAATAAT